CCTAATGATAAATAGACTCCTATGAGCTGTACATACTAAAAACATAATAATCAAGAGAACCTGTGCGTAGGCTGGGAACTAGCACCGACCGTCCCTTCCCATAACACTCACCTAACGCCCCCGCTGCACCGCAGCTCCGGCCCCACTATGCGCCGGCGCTACCATCACGTGGACCCCACTTCGGCGCTTCGGCGCTCCGGCGGCAGCGCCCTCGCACTGACCCTCGTCCGGGTGGGGCAAGATCCGTTCCGGAGCCACCTTGCGGTCCTTCTCGGCTGTGGCCGCACGGGAGCCAGCTTGAGCTTCCCCTCTTTCTACGTTGATTGTGGACGACTCATGGCAATCACTTTCCCCCTTTCAAGTCTGATTTTGTTACTCCTCATTATTGAACAGTACTAGCTCTCTACGGTTCTACTGCTATGCCTGCCCAGCGGCCACGCTTGCGAGTGGAGATCATGGTCGAGGTGAGCTTCCCATTCATGAACCTGAGTTTAACTGCTAAATACTTAGTGAGGACAGGTCACGCCGGAGCTGACCGTACGGACTCGTTATCGACAAAAGAGCGGAGTCGTGTACTGTCAGGCAGATCCAGGAGGGATCTCAGCGGTCTGGCATCATCGGACCTCTCGGATGGGGACTGTCGAGCTTCTCGTCTATAGAGTACGCGGGATTTCGAATGGGCCGCCGATCCGAAGCGCAGCGTGGGAATGCGAAAGACGAGTTCAGTACGAGAATGAGGCCCTGATGCTCCAGTATTGGGGCTTGCGGGGAGGGCGAGAACTAGCCGTATGCGGCACGCAAAGGCGGATTTTTCGGGTCCTCCGTTACAACTATCTCACACTGCAGTACTTGGTGCAGTGGGTGGGCCACGCTTTGGACGATGCTACATGGGTGTCGCAGGCAGAGATGCTCAAATGTACCAGCTGGCCTTCACTACAGACCTGGACATACCCAATTACAGAGCAGATGGCTACGACGGGATACTAGTACAGGCAACGCGGTCGCTCAGTCATTCTTTTGGAAGGAAAGAACTTCGCCTTCGTGTATCTACTAGTGTCACTGGCACTAGCACTGCTCATGTCAGCCCAGCCGCTAGTCTCAACTCAGAGTCATTTACGTCCACAAGGTGTCGGACAGAACACGCCAGGCACGTTGTGCGCTCCACGATGTACTTTGCACAGCGTGATGGTGAACCAGGACGGAGCGGCACCTAATCCTTGCAGTCCTCCACCACTGGGACTGCACACTGTGCACTACACAATGTGCTCGGTGCGTCAGTTAGTGCTTGCCATGATATGTGCAGTACACTGAGCTCCACACATTGTGGAGCATATAGCACGAAACCGGATCAAGGCAGGCACGCTGTGCTAGGCTAACTCTGGTTCTCACTGTCCAGGAGCCTCTTCGCACTCGAGACTACTGAACCGAGGTTGTGGGCCGGGCGTTGCCTGCTCTTGCAAGATCTCGAAAGGTCCAGAATCTGGCAGGCACTTATAAGAGCCTGTGGTGCTGATTCGAAGATCTGCAGCGACATGGTCTCTAGACTCTGTTCGCTTATCTTAGAGAAGTTCTTACTAGAGAGCGCTGAGTCAGTGTGAAGGAAATCCTCGGGGACGTGCCGCACTTACACAGCGGCCTCTGTTGGTCCCTCTACGTAGACCATGAGGAAGAACACGGACGGCTTTGCGAGTCGGCGCCAGCGACGGGCCACACGTTTCGTCTCCAAGACGACCGACCTACTTGTCTGGAATGCAGATATGCAGAGGTCAATTGCTATACTGGCGTTGTGCCGAGTGGTGCCTATGCCGTTCCGCCTGTTTAATTTGTCTTTCCTTCTGTCAGCCTTGACAATATCTTCAATCGTATCGAAGAGGTCGAGCAAGCGAATGTACGCCATGCGGGCCACGATGAAAGAGGGGGGGGTATGAATGAGACGGTACAGCGAGCGGAGAGCATCTAGAATAGAAAGGTCGGAACTGCGGATATTGGCTGGCAGCATCGTGCACTCCACGAGCTGGTTCCATTGTTGCGATACTTCTGTACAGCTAGCCAAAATATGCTGAGCGAAATCTTCTCGTACCAGGCTCGCCGCCAGGACCTGGCCCAGAGGATCTTCATGATTCGTAGCGGTAGCAGCCATTGCAACTGCGCCGGTGTCATAGCTGCTGTTCTCTAGTTCAGGTTGACGTGGCTGCTGCTTTATATATTTGTGTTTAGGATGTGCTCTTATGTTTGCAGAGAGCCTTGAGATTATTTTCAGCAGCTGAATTCAACTTGAGCTCTGTTTCTCCGCCCATTTCAGTCTTTTTTCGAGCGTTGCGAGGTCCAAATCGACCCGCCTGGCTATTTTCCGAATGTATGCATGGGTTGAAATGAGGGACCCCTAGTGGGGTAGCTGCGGGGTGCACAGGGCAGTAGTCTTTGAAATAGCTTTAGAGTCAGCATCGAAGCTGCAGAGTATATAGTACGATACTTGTCGCTTGCAAATCTCCGTCCCATCTTACACAGCCCCTGATTCCAGAAGTGCCGAGTACATTCTTTACAACAATGACCAATTACAGACTGCAGCGAGCTAGCACTTCGTGTGCTTGTGCTTTTACGTCTCGAGAGCTCCGCACTGAAGGAATTCGAGAGACTGACGACCTGATCGAGGTCTACCGCCAGCGTGCTACTTCACAGCAGGCAGTAAAAGAGGCTTGGCAAATGGTCAGCGACTTGGCAAATTCAGTTACCATATTGGCCAGCAAAATGGGGGCTATGGACGACTCGCTTAGACAAGTGGAAAGGGTCTTACAAGCAGGCCTGCCACATCTAGATGGTCATTCGAAGCGTGGCTAAGATAATTTCCGAGATATATCACGTACACGAAGAGGCTTGCATTATCGAAAGAGTCGTTGGGACATTAGAATAAGAAAGCTCTCCGTGAAAATACAAACCTTACATGTTCACCTTTACTATTAACGTAAATGCATAGCGAGTGGGCCAGCATAGCGAGTGGGCCACCTCCATCACTTCACTAGAATTCCATCTTCTAACACATCTTACTCAACAACCAGCCATGGAGACCCCTTCTAAAGATAACCAATTGAATCTCGCTCTTCAAGCTATGGACCGTGATCCTTCCCTTTCTATACGCCGCGCAGCTGCAATCTACAACGTCTCTCGAACAACGCTTACCCGCCGCTATAAGGGGACGCCTTCTCGACGCGATAGCCTACCAAATTCGATGAAATTAACAGAGCTAGAGGAGCAGACGATTGTCGACTATATTCTCGACTTGGATGCGCGAGCATATCCTCCTCGGCTAAGTGAGGTTGGAGAAATGGCGAATCGACTGCTCGATAAGCGGGCTGCGCCACGCGTCGGTTCACGATGGGCGTCAAACTTCGTTAAGCGACAACCACAGCTCCAGACGCGTTTCTTTCGCAAGTACGACTACAAGAGAGCCCAATGCGAGGATCCCGACGCGATAAACGCGTGGTTTCGGCTTGTGCGGAACGTAGTCGCGAAAAACGGCGTAGCGGACTCCGATATCTACAACTTCGACGAGACAGGCTTTCAGATGGGCGTTATCGCGACCGGGATGGTCGTTACAAACGCGCAAATACGGTCGAACGTTAAGATGAAGCAACCAGGTAATCGGGAATGGGCTACGGTAATCCAGGGCGTTAGCGCGACTGGATTCTACGTCCCGCCGTTCGTAGTATTTGCCGGCAAATATCACCTCTCGACCTGGTATCAAGATAACGCGATTCCTCGCGACTGGAGAATCGTAACATCCGCAAACGGCTGGACTACAAACGAAATTGGTCTAGATTGGATTCGACATTTCGATCAGCACACAAAGTCGCGAACAAAAGGCGGTTATCGCCTCCTCGTCCTCGACGGCCACGAAAGTCACCACTCGGTCGAATTCGAGCTCTACTGTAAGGACAACAACATTATTACGCTCTGTATGCCTCCTCACTCGTCTCATATACTCCAGCCTCTCGATGTTGGCTGTTTTGGTCCGCTGAAGAAAGCATACGGTCGGCAAATTGAGCTTAAGATAAAGGCGGGTACAACGCATATCGGCAAGGAGGACTTCCTCCCCTCGTTTTTAGCGGCATTCCAGCAGACAATGACGGAAAAAAACATCCAGGGAGGCTTCAGAGGGGCGGGACTTGTACCCTATGACCCTGAAGCCGTTTTATCCAAGCTCGATGTGAAGTTCAAGACGCCAACACCCTCGAGGACGCCTCGGACGTCACCGGAGCCATGGACTTCCCGAACGCCCACCACCGCTATGGAAGCCCGTTCACAGTCTAATTTCATCAAACGTCGGATCTCTCGTCACCAGGGAAGCTCTCCAACGTCAATTATTGAAGCAGTTGAGCAGTTCACGAAGGGAGCAAAGGGGATCATGCACCGGTTCGCCCTAATGGAGGCAAGGATGAAGATGCTTGAAGACGAGAATGCAGTACTTAGTAAGCGCCGGAGAGCTAAGAAAACACGTCTCCGGAAAGGCCAGAGCATGACTCTAGGCGAGGGACAGGACCTTATAGCCCAGAGAGAGGTGAACACTCAAATAACACAGGAAACGCAAGAAAATCGAGGTCATGCAGGCGGCACTACGCCAACGCAGCGCCGCTGTGGTACCTGCGGGATGACTGGCCATAATGCGAGAACTTGCCAAATAGTTACTCTAGGGTCTGAACTCGAAGATAGCGATTAGTTTATATCAATTCAAGACGTTTTGGTTTTGCTGACGAGGTTTTGATTCTCGAGATGTGGTGGGGGTGGCCCACTCGCTATGCTGGCCCACTCGCTATGCATTTACGTTATGTAAATTTGCCACACTCAGCCACATTGGCAGAGCTCGTGCCGCCCTTGTGGCTTGATACTCCGCTTTCGTTAAAAGCTCACACAGCATACGAATGCCCAGGTCTGCCACTTTCAACTCTCCCAGTTCAACATCCCCCACGAGAACAAACCCCGGCAATAAGAGGGTACCTTCGGCAATGTGGACACTCGTCGGTCTTGGCTCCACGGGCGGGGTCTACGAATTGGACAGTAACAGTAACACAGTCCTGAAACTGCCTTGGCAAATCGATGGCGATGAAGCATGGAATGCAAAGCTATTGAAGCACTTCGAAATCGAACATAAGGTGTATCGTCTCTTGGGAGAAAACGAGCACATCCTGCCGTGAGTGGTCTCCACGCACGACTACCATAAACTCCGCTGACCGACAAAGTTATTTTGGCCCTGAAATCCTTGAAAAACGCCAAGGGCTAGTCCTTGCCAAAGCCGATAGATCTTTGCAAGAAGTGCTAGACAAAACTTGGAACGCAACGTCGGATTTTCACAAAAGATGGTGTGTCGAGGCTGCGAAGGCGGTAGCGTATATCCACGAACGCGGCGTCTACCATTGCGATCTGCGGCCGGACAACTTCCTAGTGCTAAACAACGTCCTCCAGCTGGGTGACTTCGGTGGAGCTGTCTGTCTTGAGCTCGGACTGGATGCGAAAAAACTGCCCGACGACGGCTTCTTCAATTTGAAGCCCGAGGTAACTGCTCACACCGACATATTTGCCCTAGGTTCCATCCTATATAGCATATTGACCGGACACTGGCCCTTTTGCGGGACTGGTGAGCATGTTCTACGAACCGATGTGGCACACGATGAGGAATACGGGAAGATAGTCAAAGACAACTTCGGCAGCGGCAAGTATCCAGAGGTCGCGACTTTAGAGGCTGGCGGCATTATTCTAGGCTGCTGGACAGGCCAGTATGATAGTGCTCAAGACATCGTAGTGGCGCTCGAGAGGGCATTCAATGAGTCGGCAGGATAATATGTCTTCACGAATCGCGCCGTAGCTTAAGGGAGTGTACGAAGAAGGCAATGACGACTAAGAGTGGCGAAGGTGCGCATAAGCATAGGCATACATATGTGGAACAAGCCTCCTGCTATCCTTGGAATGAACATTGTCCACGAATAGCAAAGCTCTGTTCCACGAACTGTCTTTCCGCCCTTCTTGTCCATCTGATCTGCATATAGATGTTTAGAATGGGCAACAGGTGGTGGGCGACAAGGCGGCGACAAATGGGGGGCACGGAGGCAGCAGATACATGGCAACGGTGGGCTCGAGGAAAGAACCCCGGGCCATATTAGCTACTGCTTGCGAAGGCCTCGCCTCCCGGAGTCGAGTGTAGTGGATCTTAGCAGCGGGAGCCTGCATCGCGGCAGTGTGGTATGAAGGAATACGATGAAGTCCATAAGATACAGGGTGCGCGCCGCGTGCTTTGGCCGCTCAGCTTCCTATGATCTGCTTTCATCGCTTTCGGAGCCGGGAGCCGGATTTGCTACTGCTCTCGGTGCTACCGGTGCTCTCATATCCCCCCCCCCCCCCACCTCCCCCACAAGGGACCGAGCAGGTGGACCCCTGTACAGTACTATAGTAGTCGCACTCGGTCGGCTCTGCCGCTCTCAGCTCCTCGCACCCGCATACGCGCCCTGCGCCCGCTGCAGGGATGGAGAGCATAGCGCTGATACGACGAGAATCTTACGGGGCTGCCTGGTGTGGGACGAAGTAAGGCTTGGCTGCTCCAATTGTGTATTCGATGACACGTGGCATCGGTATCACTGGTAAGTCTGCCCCCCGTCTCGCGACCAGGGTACTTCGCGACCACCCCAAACCCCACCAAAATCGCTAAAATCGCTACCTTGTCACTCGGCTATAGCTCAGCTAATAAATTAACTATAGATCTACTTTAAGTATTTTTAGAGTTAGGATTAACGTAATCCACAAGTGGGTGAATCACACAAGTGGATGAATCAGTCCCCCGCCACTTTCGTACAGGCTGTCTTCTTTCCCCCTTTTCTCCACCGATAATTATGGTACGACAATCAAATGAAAGCGATTTAGTTCTCGCGCTAAATGCGCTTCAATCGAACCTAGAATTGAGCGTACGAAAGGCTGCACAGATCTATAATGTATCCTTCTCAACCCTCCAACGACGACAACACGGCCGACCTACGCAACAAGATATCCGACCACCTTGCCAGAAATTGACCTCGTACGAAGAGGACAGTATCGTACGATATATAATCGACCTAGATTCGCGATCGTTTCCACCGCGGTTAAGTAGTGTTCGAGAAATGGCGGATCGACTCCTCCGCGTACGCGACGCGCTACACGTCGGAACGAACTGGGCCTCAAACTTCGTACGACGACGACCAGAGCTCCGTACGCGTTTTAATCGAAGAATCGACTACTAGAGAGTCCTCTGCGAAGATCCAGACGCGTATCGCGCGTGGTTTAAGCTCGTACAAAACATAATCGCGAAATACGGGATCCACGTTAACGACATCTATAACTTCGACGAAACGGGCTTCGCGATAGGTAAAATCTCCGCCGAAACTGTCGTTACAACCTCCGATCGACGTAGGAAGCCAAGAGCTGTACAACAAGGGAATCAGGAATGGGTTACAGTAATCCAGGGTATCGCGTCGTACAGCTATTCAATCCCGCCGTACATCATCTTCGCCGGGAAGGTCCACCTTAACTCCTGGACCGCAAATAGCCCCCTACCGCCCGACTAGGTAATCGCGCTTTCAGAAAACGGTTGGACGACGAACGAGAGAGGCCTAGAATGGGTAAAACACTTTGATTTCCATACAAAGAGTCGTACGAAGGGTACCCACCGCCTCCTTATCCTCGACGGCCACGAGAGCCACCATTCCGTCGATTTCGAGCTCTACTGTAAGGAACAGAATATTGTTACGCTCTGTATGCCTGCTCATTCGTCGCATAAGCTCCAGCCTCTCGATGTTGGGTGTTTTGGACCTCTGAAACGGGCGTACGGTAAAGAAATCGAAGGTCTAATGCGGGCGCACGTAACCCACGTTTCAAAGGAGGACTTCCTCCCAGCCTTTTATAAGGCGTACGACGCTGCAATGACCAAATCAAACATCCAGGCAGGCTTCAGAGCGACAGGCCTAGTACCGTACGACCCGAATTATGTGATTTCGCAGCTAGATGTGAAGTTTCATACGCCGACACCGCCAGGTTCCTCTGCTGGACTACCACCCCCATGGGTTTCAAAGACGCCGAACAACCCAATTGAGACCGAATCGCAGACGAAGTATATTGAAAATCGTATCGTACGACACCAGAATAGCTCTCCGTCGTCCATTGTTCAGGGCCTACGACAGCTAGGAAAAGGAGTTATAATGATGGTGCACGAGCAGGACCTTATGCGCCAAGAAATCGCCGAACTTCGAGATGCAAACGACCGCCTCAGCCGCCGTCGTCGTACGAAAAGAAAGCAGCTACAGAAAGGAGGGTCCCTCACAATTGATCAGGCAAAGGATTTGAAGGCTCAAATCGATGCGACGCAGCAGTTAATAGCGGAAACGAGTCAGAATAGTGGTCGTACGAGGAGGCCCGAAATGCGCGCGCGACGATGTGGCGTCTGCGGCGAGCCCGGGCATAATGCTCGTACGTGTCAGAAAGTTATATCTGCCTCTGAAGAAGAGGATTCCGAATAGTTTGAATTGATTTGAGGCGTTATGGTTGAATTGACTTATACATTGTCGTACGAGTACCCGATAACTGATTCATCCACTTGTGTGATTCACCCACTTGTGGATTACGTTAATAGCTCTATAAGGCTAACGTAATCCACAAGTGACCCGCCAATACAAGTGACCCGCCAACTTTCCTGTCCCTCTCGTACAAGCTATCTTCTTTCCTCTTTTTCTCCACCAATAATTATGCCACAGCAATTAAACGAAGCCGACATTATTCTAGCGATAAATGCGCTTCGATCAGACCCAAAATTAAGCGTACTTAAGGCTGCACAGATCTACAATATACCTCGTACGACGCTCCGGGACCGATACCGTGGCGCACAGCGAAAACAAGACGTACGACCACCCTGCCAGAAATTAACTTCGTACGAAGAGGATAGCATCGTACGATACGTACTCGACCTAGATTCGCGTTCGTTTCCACCGCGCCTTAGTGGTGTTCGAGAAATGGCGGATCGACTCCTCCGCGTACGCGACGCGCCACGCGTCGGAACGAACTGGGCCTCGAACTTCGTACGACGACGACCTGAGATCCGTACGCGTTTTAATCGAAGAATCGACTACCAGAGGGTCCTCTGCGAAGACCCGGACGCGTATCGCGCGTGGTTTGAGCTCGTACGAAACATAATCGCGAAATACGGGATCCACGATGACGATATCTACAACTTCGACGAAACGGGCTTCGCGATGGGCAAGATCTCCGCCGAAACTGTCGTTACGACCTCCGATCGACGCGGCAAGCCAAGAGCCGTACAACAAGGTAATCCGAAATGGGTTACAGTAATCCAGGGTATTACGTCGTACGGCTATTCGATCCCACCATATATCATCTTCGCGGGGAAGGTCCACCTCGACTCCTGGACCGCGAATAGCCCTCTACCGGCCGACTGGGTAATTGCGCTCTCAGAGAACGGCTGGACGACGAACGAGAGAGGTCTAGAATGGGTAAAACACTTCGATTTCCATACGAAGCGTCGTACGAAGGGCACCTACCGCCTCCTCATCCTCGACGGCCACGAGAGCCACCATTCCGTCGATTTCGAGCTCTACTGTAAGGAACAGAATATTGTAACGCTCTGTATGCCTGCCCATTCATCACATAAGCTCCAGCCACTCGATGTTGGGTGCTTTAGCCCTCTTAAACGGGCGTACGGCAAAGAAATCGAGGGTCTCATGCGGGCGCATATTGCCCATATCTCAAAGGAGGACTTCCTCCTAGCCTTTTATAAGGCGTACGATGCTGCGATGATAAAGTCAAATATCCAGGCAGGCTTTAGAGCAACTGGCCTAGTACCGTACGACCCGAATTATGTGATTTCGCAGCTAGATGTGAAGTTTCATACGCCGACACCGCCAGGTTCCTCTACTGGACTGCCACCTCCTTGGGTTTCAAAGACGCCGAACAACCCAATTGAGGCCGAATCGCAGACAGAGTATATCAAAACTCGCATCGCACGACACCAGAATAGCTCTCCGTCGTCCATTATTGAGAGCCTGCGGCAGCTGAGAAAAGGAATCACAATGATGGTGCACGAGCAGACCCTTATGCGCCATGACCTCGCCGAACTTCGAGATGCAAACGACCGCCTTAGCCGCCGTCGTCGTACGAAAAGAAAACAGCTCCAGAAAGGAGGGTCCCTCACTATTGATCAGGCAAAGGATTTGAAGGCTCAAATTGACGCGACGGAGCAGTTAAGGGCGGAAACGAGTCAAAATAGTGGTCGTACGAGGAGGCCAGAAACGCGCGCGCGACGATCTGGCGTCTGCGGTGAGCCCGGTCATAATGCTCGTACGTGTCAGAAAGTTGTATCTGACTCTGAAGAAGAGGATTCCTCATAGTTTCAATTGATTTAAGGCGTTGTGGTTGAATTATCTTATATATTGTCGTACGGGTACCTGGAAGGTGGCTCACTCACTTGTGTGGCTCACTCACTTGTGGATTACGTTACGTCACTTTACACAGTTTTCACTTTGAAGAAGCGTGCAGGATGACAGCAAGGATTGGCTTACATCCAGCAGCGAGGGTCTAATGTATGCCATTTGCAATAAACTCGAGACTACCCATTGAGTCCTGCCGAATCACCTTCCCCAGTTCCGAATATTGTGCCACCCAGAGACGCATGCACGGAGAAGGTATGCGCTCACGGCATGCGTCTGGGAACGGCTGCTCTGTCGTCGTACCCTGTGTGGTAATGACAGTATTGGCGGCTAGGGGCCGGCATGACGAATTCGGGACTCCTGGGTCGTTTCGTTCTCTTCACACATATACACCTCGGCGGGTTCGATGTGAAGTAGTGCTGTGTTTTTGTTGAAGGCACGGGCGTGAACGGATTCGGACTCACCTCTTTCGGCTGAGACTTGATCGTCTCCTCGACATGTTTGTGATCATCTGCGCCGAGAAAACGTAGGATGGCGGGGTTGAGATTATCTGGCGTCGGTTCCGTGTCCATCGTGCGGTCGCATGTAGGATGTTTGATGTAGTTCTTGTTATGTAGATGGGCTCAATCGTTGCTTTGACACTTCACATTAAATCAAGCGGGGTTGGTACTACCCCGCTATTGAGCTTGAGTGCGGGGTCACCCCACTTGTGCAGGTGGGGTGTTAAAATGGCGCTCCAACCTTGGACCTACACGCAACTTTACCTCGCCCAAAGTTTGGGCCTTGTTGGGTCAAGGGGGACAGGCCACTTGTCTGTGTACACGCGGAAGCTTCACATGCTGTCTGCGATATATTTTCTGGATTCTGATGGCCCGCGCAACGATGTCAACCAAGGACAGACCTCACGTCCTCAGAGGTCGTGATGGCGCCTTAGGAAGGTTTTTGTATTTTCCCATTGAGAGCCCGTGGTAGCGTCCCTTGTTCGGGGTCTGTGTCCCGAGAACTTGCGCACAAGGCCTTACCGGCCAGTGTGTCCTGAACGACGACGACAATATGAGTCACCTTGTCAGCAAATTCTTTCGGGCAAGTCTCAAGTTTGAAGACTGGATGAAGTGCTCCCAACTACGGCACCTTGGCTTCCTCGCACCGAACCATCTGTTTCAGACATCCATCGCCAGCCCAAGTCCCTATCAAGATGCGAAGGCTGTCATCCGAACTGGAAACAGCCAAGCACATTGTTCAATAAACGAGACCGGCGGATAGCTTAACAGAATGCGTGCACAGCTCGATCTGGAAACGCATTCCGCTTTGATCAACCACCGGAAGAGTACCATTCTGCTGAGTCTTGTTTAATCCCATGGCGAGTTCATGGCAAGAGCGGTGCGCAGGGCATTGACTGCCTCACCTTCCAACTGGCGCTTGCCTGCCTTTGCCTTTCCGCCGCGACAGGGCCCAACGTGATCCCCGATAGCCCTTATTCACCACTGCATAGCTGGGTCGAAGCACATCCAGAGTATGGGAAGGCGAAGAAAGTTTTGGACAAGGGAGGTTGTTCTCACCCGAACGTGATCTACGCCAAGGCAGTTCTGGCGAATGAAATATGCAGAGCGAAGTGACTATTGCCAGGAGGATTCAGGCCAGTCAGCGAGGAGATTGTACGCTCTCCGGGATCATGAATCTGTGAGTACTGGAGATGAGCTGCCCAGACAATATGGTGTTTGTCGAAAGACTCGAGACCGTGAAACTCGCCAGCATCTCATTCCCACTGAGATACAGAGAATTATTGAGTGCCAGATGTGCCCATACTGGGCAGACAACGTTTCTGGATTGGCAATTCAACATCGTTTCGATGCTGACGTGTTTTATGACACTGAGGGGTGATATATCTGTCGAAGGATTCAGCTAGCTGAGCCAAGGGCTGCGCGCGATGAAGCTTTAGCTTCCGCCTATAAATGCTGCACTTGATTCCTAGCAAAGTTGTCGATCTGAAACTGAGCCGGCTGTGGAGAGCCGAAGACTTGGGATGTCGGCCATGGGTAGCTATCCCCGCGAGGAGCTGGGAGGTCGCGGATAGGTTTCCAAGCAAAAGTGGAACCGACGGTGCACTTGAGGTGGGATTTGGGTTCAATCAGCTCGGGGTCGTTACAAAGGGCAGAAGATCAGGGATTGGATTCAGCATGGCTGGCAGGCCTCGGCAGGGTGCCGGCCAGACAAGTGTGACCGGTCCCGGGATGCTCGGCTGACTTCCGTACACTTGTGGGGACAGCCTGTCACGAATGAACTGACTCCACAACATCAAATTGACCTTGCGGCAGCAAGGTCTGCATAAGACAGGCGAGAGGTCGGGCGCATCTGTTGTCTTGACCTGCCAGTACAGGAGGGTGAGTGGCCCAGCAGAACTGAATTCGCATCAGGTGCTTTGTCGGCTGTGATGATACGGGCAGTCACGAAGTTTTCGGCACAACCGAGGAGCCGATGTCTGCGTCTCTGATACGGCATTGTGCAGGTCCAGAGAGCCGAGGACACAGTATGCGGAAGCATTGAACGTACTATGGCATGATATCAGACACGTTGTGGAGGAACGCAGAGTCGTTCGGCCGTGCAGCGATGTCTGATGCATTGTGGCAACCAATGCGCGGCGTCCTAAAGCGAAAGCCTATTCTAACGAGTTACGCACGGCAGAGCACACCGGCAACGACCAACGACTGCCTGCGTGGTCGCCGGATGGGGCACCGCAGACTTCTCCTGGTACAGACTTATTGGAGGCGCGGCTCGTGGCAGTCTGTGGCCTGCACTGTGTTGCTGGCTCGCGTCTGAGCTCTGAGCCTGCCGCAAGGCCACAGACTGCGCTGCACTTTCACGAGACACTTGGCGCGTCTTGACGCGGTCCATTAAGACGTCCTGAAACGCAGTCAGATCGCCAAAAATGCCTGGTTGATTCTGATCAGCCCTCCTCGATCCGATCCTCGTCTCTGTAAGCAGCACTTCCATGCCTTGCTCCCTTCAGCCTGTCGCGAGGTTCTGTTGTATGCGGCACATTAGCAGCAGGGTCACTAGCAGGAGTAGTTGCTGTTCTAACCTTTCGCCGACACACGAGCTGAGCAACGCAGGCCATTCCACAGTCTTACCAAGCACCTCCTTCGGCAGCAGGCCGCTCTTTTGACTTCCACTTTCGTCCTAATTCACCTCATTGTCGGGTCAGCTCCCTCACCCGATCGATGCATCCTCAGCAAGTTCGCTGGCCTCTGGCGGCCTACTACGTCAAATAGGATCATCGACATCCAACCCTTTGACCTTCGCTCTACTCTTGAAAGGGTCATAGCGGTAGCATACGCAGATTTCTCCAGAGCGAAGGTCGGACATACGAGGAGGAGTCCAAACCTTGGGCTTCCCAGCTTCCAGGCCTAAGTAATAACGCCAAACACCAACAGCGACTTGAGTTCGCTCCACAAAGCTGAGAACGCAAACAACTGTCTTCCACAGGTACGCCATATCCGACTTGTCACCTTATGTGGCATAGCCAGAACAACCAGCACCCGAACAAGTTGCTCACGCTCTCCACATCCTTGGCTTTCAGGCCATGGCGTGATGCACCCCCCGGATTCTCCCAGAAGCTGGTAGAGATGGTCACCCATTCGGACGCGGCTGGTAATCGAAGGCTGAAATCCCATGATGGAATAAACCACGTCGAAGTGACCATGAGAAGTGGATATTGACCGCTCCGCCATGACGCGGGGGCGTTGATTTAAGGTTGAGGCAGGGCACTCGTGCAGCTGAAGGACGCTGAGCCCCGCCGTGAGCATTGCCGTCAGCGGCCTGGTCGATCACGTCATGGTCTGCTAGCGCAATCATCTGGCGCTAGATCCCTTGAGCCATAACTGGGAATCTCGAGACACTGAGAGCGAGGTGCGGGGGCGGGGGCCGTCCCCAGACCCTTGTCAATTCTTATAAATTTCGGATGTATTATCGGGCCGAGAGGATGGTTGCTAAGGTCATGCGCATTGCTGGCTGCTCGCGTCGTTCCCACCTGGCGCAAAATGAGGGATAATGAGGCCTGGCCACCGGTGTCGTGGACCCACTTGCCGGGGATCTCCTCTGGCAGCATGACGACCACACGCAGCGTACAGTCTGTACGCATGCAGTCATCGTTATTGTCCAGCGTATTCCTAAACACTCAGCATTTCGTGACGGCCTCTCGTGTCCTAAATGCGGCGACTCATAGTTCAATGCGTGCTCGAGCGCTCAGGTACTTGTTTTGTTCAAGGGCCCAGCGAGTACCCAAGGGGGACAAGTAGCTGTTCTCGGCCCGCATAGGATTGGAGTCACTCCGTTGAAGATCCTCATCACATAATCCTAAAGTTCGGACTGCCATTCGTGGCTCATAGCCGGATGCTTGTCTTGGTACAAACAGACTTCGGGCAAAGGCTAGACGTAAAGTGCCGTGGCCTAGGCTGCCCCAGCTCGTGTCTAAAGATAGTCTTCGGAGTCTGTAGAGTGGGCACGCAATCTGAGGCAAGCTAGCCCGAGCACTCTAACACGGCTGCTATTTGCCTGGCTCAGTGTTTGCGCCTTGCGCCGCCCTTGCAAAGGGTCTCGGAAGCTCCCAGCGCTCTTGGCCTGTGTCAGCGACGCATTCGGTCCATGGACATCATCCAGTTCAAGACAGCGTTTTCTCAAAGCGGAAGCACCACGACAGCATGGCGACCATGTTGGCGATCATGAAGCCATTAGCCATTACCGTCGTTCTGCTGGCTTGTGCAACCTGCCCCCGGCTCCACGGTCCGAAACACTATGCACGGAAGCATCACGGGCGTCATAACATGTGGCACGCCCACGAGCACGACCAGCGGGAGCTTGCTCCTTGTCGGCGATCGCCGCCTTCAACTCCGCAGTGGCACGCTGCCCGTGAATCGTCGTGCTTTGACTAAAATGGTGATCAGAAGACTTCTGATACGACGTGAAAAATACCTACAGCGTTGCTGTGCTGATCACGAGTGTTAATATCGTACGACACTTCTGCAGTTGTTCAGACATAGCCTTGATCTGGTTCTCCCGGAAGAGGCCTAGGCCAAGTCGGTCGCGCCATGGGATAAGGAAAAAGCTAATGCACACTGTCTGACCTCCAACAATCCTGCGACCTGGCAACTACAGCGGAGCACCGCCTGAATGATCAGAATCACTGTCCTCACTACCACTCGAGTTCCTCTCATTTCCAGTCAGGTCCGTTTCGTCCGCGAACTCGACAAAGCCGACTCCCGAGACTGTGTTTCCATCGAGAGAGTCGAAGAGCGCCCCGTTCCGCGCGATATTACCAAGCCGTTCCAAGCGCGAGATGACGAGGTTCCCGAGAGCATGAGCAATCTCACCTAGGACGTGGCGCTGCTCAGGCCAGGCGGCGTCGTTGATCCCTTCCGCGAGGAGTGGCGGAGCCCAGTTGGGGTACACTCGCCCGTGAGTATCGAGCTGAGCACACTGTAATGAATGGTGCCGGAAGTACAGCTCACAACAGAAGCAAGAAGGCTTGCTGCAAGCGATGTACGGGTCGTCCCTTGCGAACCTGAGCTTATTTTGGTAGAAATGCTCAAGGAGTTGTACCTCGCAGTGAATGCTTCCCTTGTCTGCCTCCTCTGGCGCGAAGCGGTCCTGGATCCACGCTTCGAGGCTTGTCTGTTTATTGATCTGCTTTAAGTTGTGTCGCCATGGCTTCATGCCTTGGATCGTTGGCTGGCAAGATGCGTTTGAGGATCCCATCTATCGTGATCAGAGAACCGACTTCCGGACGTGGACTCGGGGTCCGAGAGCCCACAGCCGTCACACGGTAGCGCTCTAGAAGAGGCTTCAGACGTGCTCCATCGTCAATGAGGCGTTTGACTGAGCGCAGGTGAGCTGCAACGCGATGAACATAGTGGACCAGCTTCTTGAAGTTCACCACGCCAGCGGGAGGATTGCTCCCATCTTCAGGATCGCGACCAATATGTCGTGCTTCGTTGAGCACTGGGTCACTCTCCGCGGAATAAGCTCTTTGGCAGCTCAAGACGGGATTCTTACCGGTGTCGGCACCGAGGAGACGAAGGAAATTGATCAGTCCTTGAGCTGTGCACACAAGATTAGAGCCGACAAGACCAGCCCCGGGAGATATGGTATCATACCGCTGCTCGATTGCGAGTCATGGAGAGAATTGATACACTTGTTGGCAGTCGATTGCAAGAGTTTCAACTCCTTTTTGAGTCTGATCTTGCTAAAGTGCGCGACGCGGTGCAGCAGAATTGTGTCTCCATGCTCATGATATTGCTCCGGGGGAAGCGCAAAGATCTTGACCAGCTGGTTTAAGTAGTTCTCGAGCACCATCCTTGCTGTTTCCTTTTGACTCTGATCATTGACAGCAACCACGAAATGGAAATCTTGGGCTGTCTCTTCGACTGCGATGGCCGCAATGGTATCGCCGCCCTTCTTAAAATCAACCATGAAGGCGAGGGTTTTGAGAAACCTCTGCTGGGTGGCCAATCCATTCAGGGTGTCATAGTGAATTATCGTGTGAGGTCTCGCAGGAGGGCCTAATCTCTGCAGTAGAAAGATGGCTTCGTACAAACGCTTGAGCAGACGACGGTAACGATGAGATCGAGGATGTTGTTGCGCCATATTTGAGGCAGTGGATTCCAAAGGACGCGCTGTCGAGCAGTCTCGAGATCAGATTTGGAGCTTCGATTGTTGTCAGGGAGGTTGAAGTCGAACCACACCTTGGTCTAACCGGGCAATCGGAATGAAATCATGAACGGCGTGTGGTTCGACGCCTTCTTCATCCATCCACGGTGGCATACTCCACGTCATTGTTTGTTGTAGCTGTAAACCTGCATGCTGATGATGATGCAACTGCACATATAAGCAAGGAAGTGCTGAATAGTTTGTAAGGCGCGCATGCACATGACGTGGCATGTCAGCCTGCCTCACTGCGAGGCCTCCCCACCAAAGCGGTCCTTGGCGCAGTCCGCCCTCGCCCGCATACACGCGATCCAATAAACGTTCATCTCGTGCCAGATCTCGAGGATAAACGCTGTCACATGTCAGAGCAAGAAGATATGGTCCGCGACAGCACAGTCAAGTTCTGGCTGTTGCGAAGCAGAAATAGCAAGAACTATTGACTAGCAGCCTGGCAATTTCAGCGTGGTTTCAACTCCTGGATCGTCTGGCTGGGACTGGCAGGCTCTAACGGTGCACAACCGAACTGACAGCCAGTGCTAAATCGGCCCTTTGGGCGTATCGGAAAGTTGATTCATGGCAGCAATCGTCGCAAGGCAGATAGAAATACACATTGAAGAAAAAGATAGCAGATCGCCTGCCGATCCTCCTCTCTGTCCAGATTTTCCAGATCTTCTCGCAGGATAGCCTCAATTTCCAGCTGTGACAGTGCCTCTTGTGTAGGCGACAAATTCTCAAGCACGCCGAGCGCGTTTGTGCTGCGGTCAGCCACAGCGGTGAGCAGCTTGCGATTCCGTGGACATGTCATTCCTCCAAAGCTCGCCCGCGATGCCCTGAGGATGACCTTGTGCTGTCCCGTTGAATCGTGTGGGCGTTGGTAGACCAGCTCTTTTGTAGGGCTGCAAAATGGGCCTCTGGAGCGACAATGTGGGTATCCGCATCAAAGTCGCCCTTCTCCGCGAGCTCTTGCCACTTTCTGACAGTCTGATATGCCTCCTCGTCGGTTAGGAACGATGCTTCGGCTGGAACGACGCTTTCTGGTGGTTTTGACTCCTCTGACGAAGCCGGGTTCGGGCGCATTATGAAGTGGATAGATGCCTCCTTGCCGATATCATAGTCGCTCAAGGTCCGGCCCTCGGTCAGTTGTTTGTCGCCGTATATAAGTCGCCCATCGATTCTTGGGTCTCCTTCATGCTCTCTTATCTTCTGAATCACCCTTTCGACTGTATCGGAACGGTCCACTTCGAGAGTGATGGTTTTACCCATCACTACCGAGATTGGGTTAGTCTCTCTGCTTTCCAGTGCTTTTGCATTCCTGAAGGGTCCACGGGAGACTTACATGTCTTGATAAAGACCTGCATCTTGTGCTAAGATATGTAGACCACTTGGAGCATCGAGCGCATGCCAGCACAGAAGAGTAGAGATTGCAGAGAAATGAGGGAAATAACTTCGCACCCAGAGCCTTGCGCAACAAATATACACGCACGGGCAGCGCAGGGATCCTGAAAAGCGAGTCATTCCACACGCACTATTTGCAATCATGGGCATCCACGCATTATTGACTTTTGCGTCTCCGAACATAGCCTATAGAGGTCGCGCGGCGGCCGATCGGTCGTCGTTTGTCTACCGGTCGGCTTCGCGAGCTGAGCTACCTAGGGGGGGGGGCACTACCACTCTTAGAGTTCTCCAACCCCGCACTCGCACGGCCACCGTAAAAGTACACGGTCGGGGCTGATACAGCGGTATCAGACCAAGGTCGGTCAGCGAGCGAGAGTACAGCGCAGAGGTACTGTGGCGCAGAATAGATATGAGTAGTGTAGATCTGCCACAAGATGTCACAAAAGTGGCGAACTGATGTTGTCAGTATGTGCCCCATGGTGGCGGGGCGGTGGGACGTACAGTACTCATTTGGACCGGCTTAGGACTCGTTTGCGCATGTGCTCGGCACCACATTTGCTAGGAATACTTCTGCAGCTTGAGTTAATGGATTGGCCGACTGGAAGACGAGTGATTGTTAGAGGCATTCCATGGACCAACAAGATTACTCATCAGTCTGTCCCAAAGCCCATACCCAACAGAATCACTGTGTGCATCAATATAAGGCGGAGGCGGGCTTCCACCCTCCAGCATTGACGAGGAGTAGCTGCCATGGTGTCAAACATGTTTCGAGCAGAAGGGAGGCATGTAATAGCACCGGAGTCACCGCTGTCCACTCGCCTCTCAGGGGTAGGGCCTACAGGGACAGGTCAGGCTGCTTTCGTGGTGGCGTACTGGAAAGTGGCGGAAGAATGGACAACCACGTTCATGGTGACGATTCTCTGCAATCTGGGATCTGATGTCAGGCGGGAGTCTGCCAACCAACGCTGTGTGACGTGAGATGCATGTCTCATGTCTCATGTGTCCACTATCTAGTCTTGCCAGATTGTTCATGCTCGGTGGCTGCAAGCATGCCTGCAGTGTGCTGCGGGAGTCCTACCATCGGCGGTCAAGCTCCCGCATCGGGTGGCAAAGACAGAACACGCCCTCGATGCCCAACCAGACTTCCTGCATGACTCAGCCTGGCAGTTCTCATATACCTAGGCTCTACTGTAGCCACGCTTGTTTCCGGTGCTCTTGTCCTGGCTCTTCAAGCCAGTGTCTTAAAGGCTTGCCACTCTTTATCGCTACGAATGATACTATCACAACGAAAGGCAGATTCGACATGATCTGCATTCAGTGCGTGCAAGAAGAGGACTCCTGCTTGTGCTCGTTCTTCGACTTTCGAGCTGCTGCTGGAGGTATGTTCGGCAGCTCATTCTGGGAGTGCCTCACTCTGCAAATAAGACATGCTTACATCTACCAGAACACGAGGACGAGTCAACACCTCCGGGCGATCAGCTTCTTTTGCAAGATGTCCTATTCTCGCCTGCAATAAGTGAGACTGTCGTCATCAAGTGTTTTTCCAATATGCTGACACACGCGCCAGGCCATGCTCGAGATACTGTATCTCAAAGCTTCCTGATCCACGACGTGCAGAAAGATATGTTGGACATGGTCGCATCACCAGACTCGACGGTTCAGCAAGAGGGCACTCCGATTTAGAGCGCACAACCTCTTGGCGTTCCACAAGACGACGCAATTCAACCACCCAGCACATCTACAGCGCATGTACAGATAACTTTGAGACCAGATGAGACATCAGCACCGATTACAAGATTTATAAGACATCCGCTGCCACCGCTTGATATCAGTCGCAGCCCTGACGGGAGATTTTATTGCCTGTGGAAGGATTGTACGAAGTCCTTCCGGATCAGCAGTGAGACGAGGTAGGTGCAAACTAATCTTACACACAAAGCTTCGTTGACTAAAATGTGATAGGAAATGTGTCTGGAAGAACTTCAAACCGTACGAATGTGGATACTGTACGGAACGTAGTGCGACGAAGAGAGATGTAGAGAAACATATTGAGACGCATTCATCCACTCGAACAGCGATCGGCTGTGAATCTTGCAGTTCCACATTCACATCAAAATACAACCTGCAGAAGCATGAGAAGAAGTTTCATTGATTTGGGCTGGAAAGCAGCAGATTGAGTCTCCAGCACCTGCTAGGCTGCTTTACTGCAATAAAAGTCGTTCGTTCAAGGTCTGGCCGTGTGCAGGGACTTCGCACAAGGCTTCTCAATTTGCCAATGCGTACCATTTCTATCTATCAGGTGTACACGTAGGTACCGGACTGACAAGCCAAGTCCGTACGCGTGTGGTCCACTCACGAGAAGATCTCATCCTTCTGAGTTCCGCAAATGCCTTCCTCGTGCGCGGAGTCTGCGATCAGATATTACAGCACATAGTTTCCTGATTGCCGCTATCCAAGTCCAAAATCTTGTCAGTCTATATCCCAACAACAGGTCACCTACGTCACCGAGTCTGGCGTGCCTTGCGGGTCTGGTGTGCCTGGCCTTGCCGGCTCAGAAGTGTTCGGTCATTCGAGAAGGCCGACTTCTGTCTTGGTCTGGGGCGTGCTGCTCAATTACAAGAACGTGGCGATGCTGACCTTGTGCCTTTGTCGATTTTGGCGCGCTCTGTCTGCTTAGGCGAGGACGAAGCTGTGCCATGGTGACCAGAGATTGATGAAGAAGCAACATAGGATTTATGGAGGGTTGGGAAAGCTAGTGGCCGCATGTCAGGAATCCTCATTGCTCGCTACTTATGTTCGTCGCGCGATCAGGACCACTTCGTCGCCCTCAATGGACCTTGGCCAGGCTGGTCTGGCCAAGATAGGGCGCGCGCTTCACTTGCTGCCCCAATTGAACCTGCACAATGTTTCAGTGCCACACCTGTGCCTTGATGTTTGGATGCTAGCATTACCACAGTGCCATTCGCCTCTCGCCGTAGGCGCTTCGACACATGCTCGCAACTGGCCCCGCAACGCCGTGGCAAGTGCCAGGCAAGCCAGGTTTCTTGGAATGCCAACACCCACCCTGCTGCACGTCATGTCCCGTGCGGCCTCATGTGCTGATGGTGCAAAGTGTCAAGAAGCAACGGAGTTGAAAGTTTTCCTCGGCTCGCCCGGTGACCCCAACCCCACTTCCATCATCGAAAGAAAAGCTACATAGCCCTTTCGCTTGGGCTGCTCGTACCCCGCTGTCCCGCCAAGTGCAGTCGGCCTGACCAGCAGCACGGCCAGCCCATACGCGAAATTGACCAAGTTCAACTTGATAGATGATCATAGCTACGGGTAAAATCGCTGTTTATAAACTACACACCCGGAGAACGCGGCTCAGGGCACGGGCAGATGGAAAGGCGCAGCAACAACGGAGCGGGGAAGACCCGGGCGAGGCCGCGGCACCCCATTCTCTTTGATTCCGTGGTGCTACAGTGGGTGCTTCAGTGGGCTGGTGTGCTGGCTAGTGGGCGGCTCAGGGGGTTGGGGGCACCCCAGTGGATGGCCCAGGGGGTTGGGTGCCCTATAGTGGCTCGGTTACTGTGCAAAACGCCAATCTTCAATGGGATGTTACAGGGGTGCTGCTGCCCCGAAGCGCGACAGGCAGACCTAACAGAAACACGTTTCGAGCGCCCCATACGCGACCGCGCAGCGCACTCCCCCTCTACTCCTCCCATCTCCTCCGCAACCCGGCGCTCAAGCTGGACCAGATGGTAGCAGCGCACTCGACTCGCACACGCAGCAAGGTCCAACTTACAACACCACGAGCTAGGCTCTCGAGAGCTGCTACCCGACGCTCAAGTAAGCCCGCGCTCTGGGCCGCCGGAATAGGCGCAGCGGTGGAACCGCTGCCACCGACGCAACCCTCGGCACGGAACCACCAATCGCACGCAACGCAGCCTCGGCGGTGGCGCCAGCGAACTCCTATCGCAGGACATCAGCATCGCAGACGCGGCGTGCGCAGGCGTGGGACGTACCGGACCCTCCCGGAGGCCGTCGCGGCTTACTGGTGTGTCGAGCGACCCCGGGCCCGGACTAGGCACGGCTGCTCTTGCTGCCGAAGCAGCTCCACAACTGTCGGCGGCGGCGGCGGCGGCAGCGGTACGGCCGGAGCCGGAACGCTTACCGGGATTGCTGCACAAGGTGGTAATAGGCTTGCAGAAGGAAGAAGAGGAACAGACGACGAACGCAGCAACAAGGCTGACCTGTAGCCAGTTGCTGCACAATTGCCCCGGACGCCAAGATGAGGCATCACGAACCACCGGACACACCGCGCAGCGTTGAAGGGGCGCTCACGCATCGCCCGCACTACGCACACGACCCGCATATCGGGCATTTCCCCGTAGAAAGGCGCGGCCGCCAGGGCCCCTCTCCTTTCCTTCTTCACAAGGCTTGGCTGGTGAAGAGCCATTCATTTACACGCGACGAGAGCTTAGAGCTTAGGCTCCGCTCAGGCGCGGGCAAGACACAGCGTGTATTTTCAGTCCAGCAGCTTCACGGCACGGTTTAATAAACTACACAATATGACTCACAACACCATACCAGTCCTTCGCTTGGCTCGGCAACGTGGATACTTGGAAAGCAGGCATCTCATGAACCGCCTCTGCATGGTGAGCAAAATGGCGAGCATGAAACAGAGTAGTACAGGGCGTGAAGGGACACCTAAAAGAACTCCCTTCTCTGGTGCCACGACGATGTCCATTAGCATCGAAAAGTTGGCAGAAAACATGCTTTCCGAATGTATCAATCCGCGAGTATTCCTTGAATTTTTTCAAGAGTGGGGTGCGTGGGAAGAGAACGGGGGTGGCGGCCAGATCACGGAGGTGGCGCAGACATGGAACGGGAAGCAGTTTTGATCGCTCTGTGAACCAAAAACAGGGATTTCACCGCCGAAACATTGTTTTTCGCAGGATTTTTTCAAAATTGTGTAGGAGTGTAAACTACCGTCGAATGAACCTCGTGGTTAAGGAGGGGCCGTTTTGGTCTAAATGTCGGAATTGGGGGCTGTGGGAATTGAGTGTCCGTCTCAGCACTCCTTCCGTTTACAGCTGAGCATCACGATGAAGGGAGACAGGGGCGAGGGCGCGCAGTCCTGTATAGGCTATAATTCTGTGGCATAGCTCAGATCTCAGCTTGTCGGCATATATGTTCTTCAAAAGGGTTCAATGGCGTTTGCAACTTTGTGGCCACTCTCAGTGCTCGTGCCGTCAATATCAGGGACGAATTGTAAGGTGAAGTCGCTTTCTGCAGCGTGAGCCACCTCTATTACTACTACTGCGCTGCACGCAACTGGTAACATTTGACAGGCTTGACCTTGCTGATATACCATGAAGAGCCGCAAGTGATATCGTGCCCACCCAAATACATGTGCATTGGTCGACACGCAGGGGGCATCCGGTGGACTAAACCCGTCCGATGGCAAAGGGCAGGGGAGTTCGGGTGGGCTTTAGTTTCACCGAGCGTGACATCGCCATCTGAGACTGCTGCCGTGGCACAGACACAACACCTTAAGCTGCAAGCAGAGTTTGAGAGTGCAGGCATGTAGCAAGGGCAGCCTGGAGCGCTGTGGGGTTCAGACAATAATTCGACCGTTTCTGCTAGCGGGGGATAAACAAGTCGGGGGCGACACTGCCCCAGCCTGATCTGAGCAGCCCACGGGCCACCAAGTATCATTTAGGTACTAACGGCAGGGATATGCGCTCGTACGTTGTGACTGAGGTCTCGCTTCCTGAAGTACTTTGTCGATACCGTTCCTTGGCAGTGCTTGCCGGCCCACCTTCGTCTTCCAACCCCGTCGATATTCATGAGCGACCGCATCAGAGTGAACCGCACAGTGGTTGGCAAATCCAACGAGGGCCTTAGCCTAGCTGACGCTAGCTGATGGCAGTCTCGTTGCCGTCAGCTAGGCTAAATGTGGTGTCTAGATGGCACTGTAGCGTAAACACTATGTTCAAGGCAATGGTGCTGATGCTGTCGATCTCACCCATCGCATGCGAAACGTGCGGGTCGTGAGCGGGTGTTCAGAATGTAGCGCGTGCTTATTGAAATTCTTCCGCTATGCTCCACGTCGTCAATCTGAGCTACTGTCTGCACAATTCAGACTAACAGCCGCTTTCTCTTCAAGCCAGCTATTCTCCCAGCAGGCAACTGGTTCTCATATGTAGCGTGGTGCTCCTTAGACCCTCATGTGCTCTACGGCACTAACGTCAGCAAGTCTGTGGTAGATGCCGCCGTGCAGTTCACCTGGCCCCTGAACGACGACATGTGCCCAGTCCTGTCGGGGCTGACGCGCTCTATCTGATATTGCCGAATAAGTGTCACGGGGGAACCAGCGAGGCCGGGGTTTGGGGCCACGAGCGTGATCCGAATGACGCTCGAGTGCTGTGCTGGTCGTGCGGGTGAGCTGCCAGTGGCCCTCGGATACTTTCCGCGCGCGAAGACCCATGCGGAAGAGGAGCCATGTCTGCGATCAAGTCCAGGGTTATGACATTTGCTCGAGCTTGCAAAAGACTTGGCAGTCAAGTGATTCAAATCCAAGCTAAGACCCAATCAATTCCTGGTGGCTCAGCCCGGGAAATCCACCACAGGGAAGTCCGCCAAAACGGAGTGCACTCACTGAAACCTGTGCCATAGAGAAGCTCCTGCCACAGGCAAGCCTGGGGCAACTAGGAGTGCAGCCAGCCGTGCAACGCACAGTAAAGTCCGCTGTAGCGATCAGAGGGGAACAACCCAAAGCCCTTGGGTGGGTAAGCCCACCTCTGTTTAGTGCCTGGCATCCGTAATTTGGGGTTTTGTGTCCTCTGGGTTCGGCATCCTGAATTCCGGCTCCTTGGATTCCACGGCTCCGAAAGGTGCGGTGTCACTTTGTATCTAACACATCTGGGGCCACTTCCTTGGCTACCGAGATCCCGGCTTTGGGCCACAACTACGCTGACATTCCGGCTCCAGGCCACAGGCACCAAGAACCGGGTCTGCGGTGACCATCCGTTCCATCAGCATCGCCGGGCATTTGCCATGCATGATGAGGCACACTTATGAGTCTCGTGGGCAATACATGTACTGTAGATCAGATCGTACGGCAACGATTCAAGTCAACGGACAGTCCTCTGAGACCCGAAACCTACCACAGGCTGGGCTTCCCCAGGGATCTCCCCTCTCGCCGATCCTGTTTCTCTTCTTTAACGCAGACTTGGTGCAACGACGGATTGACAGCCACGGAGGAGCTGTAGCATTTGTCGATCGGCATGGGTCACAGGACCCACAGCTCAGAGCAACCGTGCAGGGATCGAAGCAATCATTAGGGATGCTCTAGAATGGGGGAAGAGAAGCGGTGCGACGTTCGAAGCGGAGAAAACAGCAGTTATCCACTTCACGCGAAAACCATATAAGAGCGATCTGGAGCCGTTCACGATCAAAGAACAAACCGTCACACCCAAGATCATGCCAAGATTCTCGGGGTCGTCATGGACGCTGGGCTCAAGTATAAAGAACATATCGCGAAGGCTGCCTCCAAAGGGCTTGGGTCTGCAATGGAGCTGAGACGTCTTAAAGGTCTATCTCCATCGACAGCACGGCAGCTGTTTACAGCCACATTCGCGCCGGTTATAGACTACGCCTCCACTGTCTGGATGCATGCGTACAAGGACAAGCTCGTGGGACCCATCAACAGGGTCCAAAGGATAGGGGCGCAGGCCATCGTAGGGGCATTCCTTACAGTGGCCACAAGCGTGGCGGAAGCAGAGGCCCATATCGCACCAGCGCAAGACCGCTTCTGGAGACGAGCCGTGAAGATGTGGACAGACATCCACACCCTTCCCGATACCAACCCGCTTCGCAGAAACACGTCTCGAATGCGAAAGTTTAGGAGACAGCACCGCTCACCACTCTACCAGGTGGCAGATGCTCTCAAGGAGATTGAGATGGAAAGCTTGGAAACTATCAACCCGTTTACCCTGGCACCGTGGGAGAAGCGGGTAGAGACCAACGCCGACGAAGCCGCAGACAGGCAGACGGATGAGGACGGGGCGGTGCGCATCGCCGTAAGCAGCTCGGCGCGGAACGAACTAGTGGGGATTGGTGGAGCAATTCAGATACAGATGTCGACGCGCGGCGAACCCAAGGTTGAGACCTTTTCCCTCACGCTCGGCGCCAGATCCGAACAGAATCCGTACTCCGGGGAGCTGGCTGCGATGAAACAGGCGCTGGGCCTGTTGCCGAAGTTGAGGTTTCGCAACGTCGTGTTGCTGACCGGGAACAAAGCGGCGATGCTTACCTTAAAGAAGCCTCAGCAACAGTCCGGACAAGAGCATCTCGGTCGGATCTATAAATGCATTAAAGATCTACGGAGAGACGGAAATCGCATGAAAGTCCTGTAGTGCCCAGTGACTGAAGAGAACGCCCTCCTAGCACTGGCCAAGGGACGAGCGAAGGAGGCAACCCGACAGGACGCCAGCCCACAGGCACAGGTCCCCAGAGTTCGGCCCACCACTCTCAACAACGCACGATTGAAACTAAGGACTAAGAGATGTCTTCCAGAAAAAGTCGGGAAGCACTCGAAGAGGGTTGACGCAGCACTACCAGGAAAACACACAAAAGAGATCTACGACCGATTGTCGTGGAAGGAAGCGAGCATACTTGCCCAGCTCAGGACGGGGATGGCAAGATTGAACTCCTATCTGTTCCGAATTGCAGCTGCATCAACAGATCAATGCGCATGCGGAAGAGCGACAGAGACCGTAGAGCATTTCCTTTTCAGATGCACAAAGTGGACGTCACACCGCACAGAAATGCTTCAGTGTACGGACACCTTTCGGAGCAACATTTCATTCTATCCTGGGGGAAAGTCACTATCAGATGATGACAAATGGACGCCGAACATGAGAGCTGTTCGAGCAACGATACGATATGCGACGGCCACAGGCAGACTCGATGCGACCAACTAACGAATCAATCCCAACCCCCAAATACTCTTAACCCATCTTAGTCGACATAATTCACCAACCACCTCGTGCCCTGGACAGCAGACGCCGCTTTAACCGCTGAAGATAGGACGCTAAACACTTGGAGAATCGCCTCCAAGCTAGGCTGCTAACATCACTAACTCACGAGAACCCCGAGAGGAATAGCACACGATTGGACAGAAACGAGAAAGGGGAACGTTGTACGGGCTTCAGGAGACCAAGTCACAGCTTGAGAAATGTACATGTATATTAGTATAGCTGCCCTTTCGGCTTAGGTCGCCGGGCGTTAATAAATAGTGTGTGTGTGTGTGTGTGTACTGTAGAAAATATTTTGCGTACAGTTCCTCCCCCCCTGTAGAAGGAGAGGTTGACCTCTCGGCCGCGGAACTCCGTACCCATGGCAGCCGAATCCAGGGTAGCCGGATCCATGGCAACCACATCCAGGGAAGCCGGGTCCAGGCAACCGCATGGAGGGAACCCCAGAGCTGAGAAAGCCGTATTTAGGGAGCCACGTTCCGGGGAGCCCGCATTCAGGGGAGCCACATCAGAGCAACCGCCGTCCAGGGAAACCATATCCATGGCCCCCCTATCCCTGGGTCCCGCCTCCATGGAAACCCCATCGAGGGCAGCCGCATCCCCGATCCCGGTTCTCCACACCTGCCACCCTCTTTCTTCCACTGGTGAGCAGCGGTCCTTGGTATCCGTAAACCCGGCCTCAGGAAACCATCCCAACAGTCCCATGTTCAATATAAATACCCAGATCTAATCCTCTCAGCGGAGCGAACACGGTTGTTTCACTGCGCTTGTTTCTAAAGAACGCCAATCTCACGCTGACGTTACATGGACGATGTCGCGATTACATATCGACCGAGGCTCAGTTCAAAACATGAACACAGCTCCCTTCCAAGTTGACATGGTTGCACAAGCCCTAATCAGAAGCGATGCTAGGCAACACGTCGCAGAAAACTGTGAAATTATACACAAGGGTTGGGCATTATTGTTAGACAAGACAACACTGCCAGCCAGTACCACATGCACAGACAGCCGTGTGGTAGAGGCGATTAGAGCCTTAGACAACATCATTAAATGCCCGGAGAATAATATCCACTTGAGGATTGCCTATGTCCAACTAGGACGGATGATGACCTGTCTCAAAGGGAAGATAAGAGACGGCCGACGACACGGGCTGCTTGTTAGCAAGCGTAGCCAACGGGACGCTACCGTCGCTATTAATCTTTACCTTGGGGCTACTGGAAGAACGGACAGGGAGGAAGTCCGCGAACTTATACGCATGAGCAATCGCTGGGCTGCCCTTCCTGGGAGGTACCCACTCTTGCTAACCACTTTCACAGCTGTGGCTGAAAGAATAATGTACGTCTTTATCTCTTCCAATCTGCTCCATGACGCTTATTCCCTCAAAGTCACCGAAGACGTATTACAAACCATAACCTTAAAGCTCTCGGCGAAGAGATCCGTCGGGTCTGTCCAACTGCGTTGATTCTAGCCTCGGATTATGTGGCGAAGGATGCGGAGTTAGCTGTCAGATCGGGCCCAGCATATGACCCAGGACGAGCACAAGAGGTGTTAGGGCAAGTGAAAAAGATGTTGACTTGACTAGAATGCGGAACAGCATCTTGTGTAGTTGTAGAGATGGCAGACGTGACAATCACACTTAATCAATGGCCAGGACTTGGCGGTATGGGAGTAGTGACTTGCCAGTGATGTCATAGCAAGTGTAAGCACTTAGGTACTGTGCACTTTGTACTTATTTTGCTGCTCTTTGCCGCTACTCTCGTCGCTGTTTGCCGCTGTTTATCGCGTTTTGTCTTTATTGTTTGTCGCGTTTCGTCACGACCCACTCTACGGTGTACGGTAAGGTCGAGTGAGATGCAGTCCACAGAGACTTCCAAGTCTAGCTATTCGCAGTTACTTCTACCAACCAGGTAGGCGGCGCCTTGGTCTCTCTTCGAATTCCTGAGCCGATTAGCCTTTATCTCCGGATGTCCGCGGGAGCCCTACCTTCACGGATGCGAAGAACTGCGTGACCGCAGCTCCGCCCCCGAGCTGTTCCGCCTCACCTTCCTCTGCCCTAGCTTTGACGAGCTTCGCCACAGCGAGGACGTATTTCGGCGCGCTCCGCCTCATGTCTTCGTTGGTAATGGCCGAGTTCGTTATCTGAGCAAGCATGACTTGCATCCAGCGCCTGATGTCTGTCCACTGAAGGACGTGGCCACCAAGCGCCAACGTCTGATGCTGGCGCACCCGGAACACAAAATGAATCGTCCCCGGCATGAAGAAAACAGACTGGCCAGGCTTCAGGATAATATATCTCCAGCGGCCACCTGTATGTTGGTGGGGATCGGCCGTCCACGAATTTCGCTCCTCCTCCGTCGGACAAGACATCCAGCCGAACCCGATCGACCCTTCCTGGGCAGTGATCCACGTAGCAAAGCCGTGACTGTCCATATGCGGCGCCGTGTTGTGGCCCCCTTCCGACAATAGGACCCAGTCGAGAACGTTCTTCCACTCGTTCCACTCCTGCGTTGATGCTACTACCCTTTCAGCGCTATCCTCCATCAGCACCGCATTGCGGACTTGAAGGAGAAGCTGACAGTTCTCGCCCGTCAAGAAGTTTGGCATGGAATGAGGCAGGGGGCTCTGCAAATCGAGAATGTTCCACGGGTCGTCGGTGCTGTCCTGGGTAAGGAACCGTTTCCGGACTTCACCGAGTTTCCGGACTTCATATGACCGCTTAGTAGAACCGCGAGATGGTATTTGCACGGAGACCGACTTGTCCAGGAAGCCCATTCGCCGGAAAAGCTGAGCAATGGGTCTGTCGCCCATGCTCCATCGGAATTGCTGTTGGCCTTCCGTGATTATCGGAGCGTCGTGAGGAGATCCGGACTCAGCCAGGCTTGCCGCTTCATCGCCGGTGCAAAACAGCGCCTCAACTACGCCCTTGCTACTGTCTGTGTTCGGCTGCTCGGCCTTCTCTAGCAACTTGTAGATAAGGTCGTCGGTTCCCTTGCCGTGGGAGTCTTGCGATGACATATGCTGGCTAGATTTCTCCTGCAGCTCAGCAACGACTCGTCTCCGGTAGGTATCATCTGCCATCCGATCGTGCATCGGTCGGTCTCGGGCAACATCTGGTCTCGCCATAGGTGTAGGAAGGAACGGTGGAGCCGCGTCAACCCGGGCCCGTTTTGATACAGGCTGAGTGATGTCTGGCACTGAAGCGGCACGTCGACGGACCGGGCGATCGGCACCAAAGGATGTTACCGCGCTCGAGACATATTGGGTCCCCGGCAGGGTCGCTTTTTGGGCGAATGCAATGGCCGACGTCCGAGTCGCGAGAAGCTGGAGATGTGAGCGGCAGAGTTGCGAGAGAAAAGGGGAGAGTTGCTCTGCTGCCTCTGGCCCGAACATAGACGGGTTGTCCAGGGCCAACAGGAGTGTTGATGGAACCTCGGCCGGACAGCATCGTGGAGGGATCTTTGGGGCCTTGACTGAGGCAGTAAGTCGAGCTTGTTTCGGTTTAGAGGCTCCCCCGCTCTTGGTGGGCTCGTGGTAGGACAACTCCTTGCGTGCACGGAGTGACATTCCAGAAGGCTTGTTAGGAGTGGTATTTGTATCGTTAGAGCTATCCAGGAAGTGAGGAGCCTCTGGAGTCGTTGCGGCCGTGTCCTCTGCTGAAGTAGTACTGGATTGGTCATGGCTGGTGGGTGTTGTGGCATCAGCAGCCCCAGCAAGGAAGGCATCAATGGCTTCAGAGGCAATGTCGTTCCTATTTGAATCCGTATCACCGGGTTGCGATGCCGCGAATGCCAGCATGTCTAGGCCCGCAGTACCGTTCTTCCCTGACGGCTCTGCGATGTCGGCGCTGTTGGCTTCCGGTACCGCCGCCGCCTCCGTAGTACCGCCGCCGTTGGTCTCAGGTAAGTCGACAGCAAACTGCTTATGGACCATGAGACCATACTTGTCGAACCCGAAGGCATCTGGTAAGTCTTTCGCAGCCGATTTTTGACAGGGAAACGGATGTTCGCGCGACCAAATCCTGACGTTCTCTAGATCGGCCTGCTCAATTGGGTTGACTAAAGCCTGGACCGGGCGTCGCCCTACAGTCTTAGACCGTTGGAGCATTGACCGGTTCAGACCGATCACGGCTTCCTCCCACGCAGGGACTCTCCGTGCCGTGGTGCGAAGCTGGTTCCAGTATTTCTCTGTCCTGGAGGACCACTGGTAGTGCTGGACAACATCTCGACCCCAGCAGCGCACCACCTCTTTCAGGGGAGTGAGGCGTTTGGATCCGTCTGTGGCTACCCCAAAAAACCGATCCCACTGCGCTGCATCGTCCTCCTGATTTACCGGCGATGGCTGGGTCGAGTCTCGGTTCTTGGTCTGCTTCCGCCGTCTGTACTCGGGGCACTCGGCCGACATGACATGCTCGCAGGCGGCGACCAAGATCTGCACTCCGGCATGCCGATCGAGCAACTCGTCTCGTTTCTGCACGCACAGTTCGTATCGCTGCGCATCGGTCTCGCAGATGCGGAGTTCTTCGCGGAAGCGGTCGACTTGCGTCGCTTGGTCGGGCGCTAAAATAATCGCGTCATCGTCGGGTTCGTTGTTCGGGCGCATTTCGGCGGGCCGGGACGGTTCGGCATCGTCCAGACGCGGAACAGATGAGTGCGCCATATCGGACCCCGTCATGGTAGAGTGCGCGGCGGTGGTTTGTTGTTGTGGACACGTAAGGTTCGCAAATGGCGGTGGCGACCAGAATTGCCGGTCAGTTTCGGACCAGGCAGTGTGGGCCGTCGACGGGCGTTGTCATTGGCTCTTTCGCGGACGAAACCAGCCATCACGTTCACGTGGCCAAACACGGCGCGTCGCGAATTCCCCGCCAATCTCACGCCACGTCTTCAACCTCGCGATTGCGTGTCGCTCTAGCACAGTGCGCCTCGGTATCATCTGTGCGAACACTAACTGCTATTCGCAATCAACCCGTAAGTGACTCACGGGACTCCTTCGAAACGCACCGATAGCCTTCACGGCCTCTTCCCGTCCACTCCGTGGTACGTTGTGAAGAAGTGGATGCTGTTGAATGGACCGTTCCCATGACGTCTGGTACCTAATGGGATACCTATACATTCAGTCATCAGACCCCAGGGTTTTTCGTCTTTCCTTCTTTTTGATCCAATGTCCGAACTTATTGCGTGTCCGCACAGAAGAAAATGGCAATCTGCTTTGAACCCTTTTAGAGGACCAGAAAAGAGAGAGCGTAATAAACCCCCAAGATGTGCTCCGGCCAAACCCACCGCCCGAGAAAACTAACGCCTGCCACTGTCCGGTCACATGTAAGAATTCCGATTCTCCACCGCGCCAGCCCCATGATAGTCCAAGTGGACATCTTGCTTCGCCGTAATGGAAGCCTTCAGGTGTTTTTCGCTCATCACTTCCCCCTTATACTCGGCCATGGACTGAGCGAGGAATACAATATTTCTTATCTATGCGGACTGTTAGCGCGGCTCAAGCACCAAAAGCGGGCCTCTTACCTCTCGGCCATTGATCTCCTGTTTCGCCAAAGGCTGGCCATCACATCGCTCCTGAAAGCTGGATGTCCGTCTTTGACCCGGACTTGGTCGAGAAAGTACTTCCAAACAGCCATACGTGCCTCTTGCTTCAGCGGTTCGTACCTCAGGGCCAGATGCACCCGGCTGAGCACCGCCTCGTCAAACGCCTGCAGTCGGTTGGTGGTGAGAAACAGGATGCCATCGTAGTGTTCCAGCTCCCGCAAGAACACCGAGACCAGGGCATTGAGTTGCACGTTCTCTGAGCGCTGAGCCAGGAACACATCCGCTTCGTCGAGGAGCAAGAGGGCTTTCCAGCGGCTGGCGATCTTGAAGATGGTTTTCAAGATCGGTTCCACCTTCACCGGATCCACTCCAATCTGGCCAGCAGGGACCTATTTGGTCAGCAAGAAACAGAAGCACGGCCGGGGAATACATACTGTGTATAGCGGAATTCGAGAGCTCTCTGCCAGCGTCTCTGCCGTCAGGGTCTTGCCCACTCCCGGCGGCCCACTATCACATGTCAGCAGTGGCTCTCGTTGGCTGGGGCGAGACAACGCACTGGAGCAGGAAGTTGATCCCGCGTCCTTTCCCTTGGACGAGGTCCTTAAAGCCATCTTCCGGAGTGCGCTGCAGATACGTCTTGGTGAGGGCTAGAATGGGCATCTTCTGGCTCTCCGGAATTCTCACGTCGTCAATCGAAGACGGGTTCCATTCGACGTCGCAGATGTTCGTAACGGCAAACTCAACTACGCCCAGTAAGCCCTTCTCAGCGGGCCAGTATTGGATATGTTTTGAGATGATTGCTGAAGACGGCAGCCTAGTTATCGCTAGAGTTCGCTTGCCGCGACACCCCGATGCCCCGCCTACGATTAGTGAGGAAGACGAACAGTACTCCATCGCATGCGAGGTCGCTACTATGGCCTTTGTGAGCCAGAACGTACCCGCCATTACTCTCCCCCAGATATACGCCTATGAAGGCCCCGGGTCCCAGCTTGCTGCCGATGCCGGTGCCATTTACATGCTTTTGGAAGGCTTCTATGGAAATACCCTACAGGATGTCGAACCTGACCTGTGCAATCTATCGTAGGGTTTCTTTCATTGCTTCGATTCCGCCCTACTAACCGGATCTAGATTGCAATCCAGGAGCACATCATATCCCAATGGACGCGGGTACAGGTAGAACTAGCAACTCTAGCATATCCGCGGATTGGTTCCATCTCTTCCGTATCGACAACAGGAGAGCCTGTTATTGGCAGGTTGGCCAGCGCCTCAGCAGAAGGGTTGAGGTGCCACGGCCCTTTCTCTCGTACGGCTGAGTACTTCACTACCGTTGCAGATGCTCCAATTAGCAAACTGGATCTGACGGATACGGATTCGAATGGTGTTTTGTCCTTCACCGTACTTGGCGCCTTTGTCTTTCGCGACATCGTGCAAAACACTACCCTATTCGAGGACAGTGACGCTGAGGGGCGGTTCCCTCTGAACCACATGGACCTTGGTACGCAGAACATCCTTGTTGACGACAGATTCAACTTCCGGGCAATCATCGACTGGGAGTTTGCCCAAACTGCGCCCTGGCAGGTCAATCACTACCCAATGCCATTTCTGCTACTGGAGTCGGACACGGAGATCCAAGGCATCCTTCAGAATCCCAATCACCCTGCGCATGGGAACGTGTCGCGGCAAGAGTTTGCTCGAAGGTTATACACCAAGAAGTTTCGAGACGCCGAGGTAGAACAGGGGAAGACAGGGCGATCCCTCGGAAGCTCATTCGCCGAGGTGTTAAACAGCCCTGCATCGAGGATATATGCTTGCTTCACAAAACTTGGCCGCTTGCCAATGGCAGATGCAGGCCTCGTCCACGAGATGGTGCGGCTCGCCTTTGATTTGGATGCTGAAGGGACAGAATAGTATCTCTATGTTATAGGGGATCGGCTGAAACGAGCAGACAATAAAGCAAGGTAGTTACACAAATACTAGGTTGCCTGGCTCTTGCTTAGGTAGTCGGATCCTTTTGGGCTTCCTGAAGGATCTGCCGCATCCGAATATATAGCCCTCCGTCCTCTCTCTCCCACCTCCCACCATTTGGAAATACAGCTTTCCGTAACCGGTTGACCCAAGGTATCAATGGTTGATAATAAGGAGTAAAATTCTCCTTAGCGGTCCTGATGAAGTCCCCCTCATGAGATACTTGCCCTTTCTTCTGCTCCGCCAACTCCTCTGTGTCGATGTAATTCCACTTGTCGAACCGTGCGACGACCCTGTGCTCGTCCGGCCCTTTACAATGGATGCATATCCAGAACAACACCCAAAAGAATGACTCGAGATCGTGCATGAAGGAATGCTGCTCGCCTAGAAGCGCCCCGATTGCCATGAATGCCCTCGTGCCAGTCTTCCCTTGGCTCCCGACACGCCCTCTCGTTGCTCTTTGATGGCGAGATCCAGGTCAATCAAAAGGGAAGGCCAGGAGGGATTATTGACGTCCTCGTTGATCAAGAGGTTATTGATAGAGATGTCTCTGTGCAGGATGCCGGCCTTGCGTAGGGATTCATGCCCTTCAATGCAGCCGTCAAGCGCGGCAAGCAGAGACGTTCGGGAGCTGGCCTTGTAGATAGGAGTTCCATAGTCGCGAAGAATGACACGACGATGCACCCGATTTGACAGATTGCCGCTGGCTTGAGATGTCGAGCAAGACCGCTTGCTGTGTGGCAGAGGGGCGCCGGCTTGACTGGACGATCGTTTCTTGCCAGCAGCTACACTGCTGCTGCGGCCTTTTCGCGAAACTGAGGCCATCGTACTCGACGGGGGGGCTGACCGTTCCGGCCGGTAGTTCGTGGCACTGGTGACGTCTAGTCCTCCTCGGACGTTTCGGACGTCGTCATCCGTTCCATATATCTGAACCGTTTCGTGGTAATAGTGTCTGGCGATGTTGATGACGCCTTTGCTGGTCACCTCGCGCAATAATGCGCCTTCCTCACCGCGTTCCGGATACTGCCATGAATCTTTGATGACGAGCGGTATCTGTGGCTGCCCTTCGCGATGAGCTTTCCAGCATGTCGTAGCCCGACCGGCAACGCAACGTGCACGTTGCATCACCTCGTCAATGATGAGGCGTTCCTTCGAGCCGTTCCGCTCGATCTCGATGAACCGCTGGCCGTTGGCCGCTGTAAATGTTGGATCGAAGCCGAGCTCCTCTTCATTCATCCAGAGAAACCCGAGGACCGTAGACACAAACCGCAGCCCATCTTCGTTGATGTCGAACCGCTCGGATGCGAGGCCCCCAAGCCGATCAAACTCCCATATCCTCATGAAAGATCCGCAGATGGTGAAGCCCAAAACAAAGCGACGAATGTCTTGAGCGGCGAGGACTTCCCTCGCGTACGTGCCAAGGTCTAGCCACGCCTTCGCCGCCGTGTCGGCGGCTGGGTTGCTTTTTAGCTCGCCTGGTACCAGGATTTGTGACCAGTGGCATCGTGAGTCCTTCCCGGCCTTTGGGTTGTCCACGAAGCGACGTCCAACTTGCGTTCCGCGGTGGAGCCCTGGATTGGCTTGTTGGGCTGTGCTAGTGGCCTTCGTCGATGTGTCGGGATAGACTTGTAATCTTCTGCAAGCGTCGCCAGCTTCTCGCTCAGCTCTGCAAACCAGCTCAATACATCGTCCTGGTTTGCATCTTTTGGCCATCCGCTCCACCCATTACTGAAGAGTGGTTCGCCGCCCTCCATGCACTTCTTGAAGACAGCCTCGGATGCTGTCGTGAGATCTGCCACCCGCCCGAAAAATGTCTCGTGGAATCGAGGGAGCCCGACGTACATAACGCCCAATTCATCCCTGAGGACTCTGTCCACATCCTTACGGTATTCGGAGGAGTTCGCGAACCTGCTCGTATTGTGAAGCCTGGTAGTCTGTGCCAAACATACAGACAAATTTAACTGCCCGAAGATACAAAACACCCCATCTATTAGGACGGGCTGGTACACACTAGTGCCACGAAAGGCAACAGTATAACGTTAGCAGAAATCTGATAACTATCATGATAATTTCGACGACTAGGCAGAGACCCCCCATTCCCCTGCTAGGTATTTCATACTAGCCTTAAGGAATAGTAGACCAGAGACAAGTCAGTTATTTAGCTATTCTTTCCCACCGGACACAACTGTGACGAATGCTCCCAAGCAGGTTTTGCTAGACAAGCCTTCAGTGCGGTTTGTGCTAACAGGGTCAGTGACGCTTGCGGACTAACGTTCTGTCTTGTCGATGGGTCGGCGGGTGTGCTGTGCGTTGAGCTGCTGGCGTGGCGGTTCAACTGATATTCATAAGAGTCGTTAAAGCTTAGTGCTTCACCTATGGGTAAGATAGATGGTTAGATTGATCACTGAGGTAAGGTACGACTATGACTAGGAAACTATCGAGGTTTATATAACGAATGTCCTTCCCTCATTGATGCCCTGATCGTCTGGTGCTCGCGGTCTGATCGTGTTTGTATCATGGTCGTGTCATGACGCGATCCCGGACTGATCACTCCACGGGGGTGATCGCCCAGTGATCGTGTGGTTGGTGTTGTAGCTGGTGGTTGTTGCTGGTGGTTGTTGCCTCAGGCCGTCATGCATGTGTCCGGGCTGCCTGACCCAACAGTTTGTCCTGCGCTTGGCCGCCTGCTGGCCATGTTCGTAACAACGACACTGCGCAACGTGCGGTGTAGCAAAACCGTCGATGTCGTCGTAGCGCTTGCCTGCTGAATGTTGCAGCCTACTGGCGGTATAGTCTTCTGACGGGACGCTGTCGATATTGTTGCTTCTCTTGCTATTCTCGTCGGCGAAGATCAGGCGCGAGGCGAGGATGTCGATGCTATTGGGATGATGTCAGCTGTTAGCAGGTTTGGGCCATTTATAAAACGTTAGAGTGTCGAAATTAGAGGGGCAGACGTACAACATGATGAATGGGAACAGACAGCCCAGAATGTACATAAAACGGTCAACCTGGTCGGCTAGCAGATACGGGTCCTCCACGCGGAAAGAGCCCTCCACGCGGAAAGAGAAGGTTATGGCACGTCCGATGCCGATGAACGCTAGCGAGGCGAGGCGTATCTCGGTGCTGCACATGAGGTAGCGGTACAGCCTGCCGCCGCCTCCTAGCCCGCCCAACTTCGACGCCCGGAGCGTCCTGCTGAACTTCATCAGCAAGAACACGGCGCTCACGGTTTCGGCCATCGCGATGGGCAGGAAGTAGGCCAAGTGCAGGCGGTCAACGAGGGCTGTATGCAGGGCCAGGTGGTCTGGTGAGGGGTCGTTGATAACGACGTAGCGCGTGTCGAGCACGAGTACTGCAATGCGGAAGAAGAAGATAACGACCATAAGCCCCCAGAAGATCGTTAAGAAGATTACACGCTCGATGCCGCAGAGGACAGGGGCCAAGATCGCATAGCCGTAGAAGGGAAGTCCAGCTTCTTGAATCTGTTAGAGCAGGACGAGGAGACCACCGCATTAGTCGAATGTAGTATAGCCAGCTTGAGACAAAGACAGGGACGTCTATGCGCCTCTGAAGAGGGGCATTCAACGGTACATCGTACTCACCATCCACGTGAAGTTCGAGAACGCAGCGGCGACCGCCCTGTTTACCACCGGGTAGTCGGAACCCCAGGCGTAGTAACCTAAACCATTGCCCAGAGCACACGCAGCGGAGGTGATAATCGGCACTTGGAGGACGACCGAGAACTCGCCCACAATGCCAGCGATTATAAGGCCTACAAAAACATTGTTGAGCCCGATAACACTGACAGTGGCGTAGGTCGTTTCGAAGAAAGGTGCTTGTACTTGAGTAGCCATACTTGAAGCCTAGCTTTGAACTGAAGAGTTCCGAATAATGATCGGTTTCGAAGGGAGGAATGTAGGCTTCTATCAGACCGGATTCCTTTTAGGCTTTGCACTGTCGCCGCTGTCGAAATATCAGACATAATGTTGCTGTTAGCATAAGGAGGAAGTATGTAGCGTTGCATAGGGCCTTTTAATAATATCTGGGGTTCGTGGAGAGCCACAGTTCAGTCACAATTCTGTCACGCAGCTTTACCTCTCAGAGTTCCTCTTGATGGGACGTGGCGCCCACAGAAGGGCTTAAGGTGGCTGCGCTAGCCAGGATGGCTCCCCCTGGAAGTGTCTGGACCGACCTACATACACGGCTGGTGGTACTGCTTATGCAGTACACATCATCTGAGTAGGTCATGCCGCAGATCGGCCTGTTTTCCACCCCAGCGCACGAGGACAACGTCCCCGCCTTAGCCTGCCGCCCTAGGTTCGGCACGATATGAGTTGGCATCTAACAATCACAAGGAAGCTTAGATTGACGGGACGAAGACCATGGTTGAGGTCCGGCACTATCTCTGAGACCGCTGACAAACACTAGTATAAATAATCCGCAAGTCTCCAGTCACTTCTAGAACGCCCCCTTCCACTCCTCTCATAGCAAAGGTTGAGCCTTTTCATGATTCGCGACACAGAATCAAAGTACGGATCCCTGGCGACCTCCCCTCTGTCAACAATGGACGACGAGCAGCAGGGCATTGACCTCCATCGGAAGCGGGTACGTGAAAGATATAGCAACTCCAAAGTCATCAGCGCCTGCAAAGCACGCAGGCATCTTATTGTGCCTGATGTCATGTGCAGCAAAGAACTGAAGTGGTTGAGAGAAGAGGGTGCTCGAAATCTGGAAGTAAGAAAACTCGCAGAAGATATCAGAGTCTATACAGGTATGTTCTAACATCTCCACATCCTAATATCTTGCTAAGACTCCTTCAAGCACAATTCAATCGCCCGACGGACGAACAATTATATCAGTGGGCGCTACTCTCTGGAGAGAATTGCGAGATGAACATGATGCGTTATTGGGTTATCCCGGTTAGCACTTGGAAATTGATCCTCAGACAGCCTGCATTACCCCTGCCGGTTCGAAACGACGACATGGAGTTGAACAATTTCCAGTCTTGCAAAGAGACTGTGGCTGCCCTGCTCGAGCCGTACCCGTCGAAGCCATCGCCCTTTCTTAAAATCATGATCGGAGTGAGGAGAGCAAAAAGATCCATCAAAGAGCCACCAAGCTAGGAACGATGATGCCTAGCCTAGCACGAATGCTTGGTGATAATGGCTGGTAGAAATCTTTCGCTTATTAAGTGATGAGCCTCTGCTCAAAACTTGTTATCTCAAAAACTTTCGAGTGCAGTGATTAAACCAGGAAATGACCATGTATACAGTAGCACCTAACACTACGAGTTATTCGCGACATCTAAGCGACTGAATTCATTATGCGATCTAAGCGTATTCTGTCCTAGTAGAGTCCTACTGCGGGTCTCTTGCGTCGTCTGTTCCTGCTTCCGACCTCACGGCTTTGCATACTTGCAATGCAAACTTATCGATCGTCAAGGTCGGAGCTAGGAGCTGCTGGAATGGGAAGTCTAGTCCGTACTCGTTAAAGATCCACTTGCGCAGCTCTGCGCCGATCATGCTGTCCAAACCATATGAAGCTATGGATTTACTTTGAGTGTCAATAACTCGCACGTCTAGCTCGAGCAAACGTGACAGTTTGGCGGCGAAGTGTTCCTTGACAGTCAGCACAGATTCTAAAAGCGACTGCGCCCCACGGATGGTCTCAAGTATGGTCAGCCTAGAATGACTGTCTGCCAGCGCTTTGGAGCCAGTGCCCAGAGCATGTGCACAGTGGATAGTGTGCATGATGCTACTGAAGCGGGCATCATGCTGCCAGAATACATCCTCGCCCACTTCGTCGAGACAGTGACGGAGTCTGGCGGGATCGAGCCCAGGGATTATTTGGTTAGCTCCAGAGCTCAGTGCGACCTCGAACGCCTCGAGAAGCTGCTCCTCATCAATACCATACACCCCCGTGCGCGTCAGCAATTGCTCAAGCTTCGTGTTCTCGGCTACCACACCGATACCGAGAACCATAGGCAGGATGATCGAGACGGGCGCTCGTGCTGCTCTTGGTCTCTGTTTATCGTGAGTGCGGTCAATAGCTTCGTGCGATCCGCGCCTGGCTAGGGCATCAAGGAAGCCGTTAGCAGCAGCGTAGTTGCTCTGTCCTGGCATGCCCAAGAGACCAGATATTGAGCTCGTCATGAGAAAAAAGTCAAGCTGCGCAGAGTTTGGGGCCTTGGAAAGCACGGACTGCAGATTCAAGACGCCATCTATCTTGGGCGCCACTGCAGTCTGCCAATCTGTGAAAGTCATTGATTGGAACAGGACATCCTATATGAAGATCAGTCTTGCAAGTCGCAGAACGCACAACACTACTACTCTTGAATCAGAAACTCGCAGCACTTACTCTTAGCACCATTGCTGCATGGATGACACCACGAATCGGATGTTCAGAAGGGACGAGCTTCACTGCAGCCTCAACGTCTGCGTAGACCGTGACATCTCCTCGAACTACAGTCGCAGATGACCCCAGGGCTTCAATATCTCGGATAAGCCTCCCAGCAGCAGGGCTGCGTGCCCCCGTTCGAGAGAGAAAGACAAACCGTCGAGCACCCCTCTGCATCATCCACGTAGTGAGGCTGCGTCCCAGTCCGCCGAGACAGCCAACAAGCAGGTAGGAGGCGTCATGGCTGAAAGATACGCGAGGGCGAGTAGCACATGGGATGATCTGCAGCGGCTTCTGTGGCGACCGGTAGCGAACAACAGTCTTCGGTGTGCCGTGGCTTTCCGAGTGCGAGGCCACAGCGTGGTTGATGTCTGCGACATCAACTACGCGAATCGGGAAAGGTAGCCCCTTGTTCTGTGAGATTTCGCTCATACTGCGGTTGGCTGATGCGAGCACTCGAGGCAACAAGCTCGCGATGATCTCTTTCCGCGCATGGTACAACTCAATCAGATCAAACGGGGCGTAAATCGCGCCACGGTTGAACGGCGTTGTGTCAAGACCAGCGTGCGTCGAAATATCCTTTGTTCCAGAGTCGATGAAGCGGCCGGAGGGTGCAATCTGCCGCCATGCCTCGGCGGCCATGCCCGTGTTGACACTGCTGCCACCACTGAAGACGATATCTGCGCCGTGGCCGTTGGTGAGCTCCGTGAGGCGCTGAAAGATGCTCTCGAGCTGTTCGGATGCATGGTACTTGATGATACATCTGGGATCCCGTACAGCAATGTCTGAAGGAAGGTCTTCTGTGTCAAGGCTCTGCAGGACTATGGGCCGGGCACCGTGCTGGAGTGCTACACGGACTGCAGCAGCACCACTCGGCCCGGTGTTGTCCAGAATCAGGACGACATCTTCGGCCTCGATCCGGCCTAGCTCTTCGAGGCCATAGATGGCATTAGCGAACGGCAGTAGAGATGCCACGAGTCCTTGCATCTTGCTTTCTGTGCCGTTTTCAACCTTGTGGACGAGACTCGTATGTGTTTGCTGAAACGTCGAGAATTTCGCGGCGCTGAACCCAACGACTGTGTCACCTGGCCTAAACCCCTCCACATCAGAACCAACTCCGACGACGACGCCGCCCATTTCATAGCTGAACTTGCTGGCATAAGTAGACCCGTTGATAGCTAGGACTCCTTCCCTTGAGAGACCGCTGATATGCACGTGGACTTCCACATGGTCTGGTCGGATCGGCTGAGTGGCATCTTGGTCATGGGAACAGTCCACGAACTTGAGTTCTCCTTGTGACACCAATTTACCACTTAATCTGCGGTCTTTGATTGTCAGAAGTGTGGTTTCGGGCTCTGGTGCGCTGGCACAGGCATTGTTCACATGCTTGTTGCCGATGAGACGACTGATGTACATCCTGCCGTCGTCGTGGACAGCAAACTCCTGATCACGACGGCTACTTGTGTCAGCTGGTTCGCTCATGACGGCGTGTAGAGGCTTCTGCTGCAGGTTAGCTGTGCGCAGGATCCCCTTGACCATGACTTCGTCGCTGAGGTCAGGATGTAGGTCCAGCGTTTTGAAGTCGAGAGGACATAGCTCTGCCCTAGCGCATCGGGCAAGCCCCTGGACGAGAGCAAACTCCGGCTTGCAAGACACAATCGCGCCACCTGCAGAGACCCAGAGCAGAGACGAACTGAGTGTGATGATTTTCTGTACAGCAGAAAATTCTGCCCCTACCATGGTGTGAAGCAAGGATGTGCCTTCGAGGTCGGCGAGTAAGATGACCTGCCCGATGTCTTTAGAATGCAGGACCTTATGGGCTGCCAGAAGCCTGCACGTCTCAACCACGAAGCCTTGTTCACGGAGGACATGTTGGGTCAGTCTGAAAACTCGGGGGATAATGCTCCGATATACGAGGAGAACGGTTTTGGACTGTGGCGCGGCGAGACCTGAAGCGTGCGGGGCTTTGGTGTGGTAGATCGTCTGGTTTTCAAGATGAATGACATCAAACCCAGACGGCCGTGCCTCTTCTGTTGCGGCCGTAGCGATGACCCCCGGACTACCAAGATTGTCCATCAGCGATGGCGGAATACTTGAAAGTGAGTCGGCTACAATCAGTCCGGGCGGATTCAAAGGCTGCTGGGAACTTGCTGGCGCATCGTATCTCAGAGGCCCGTTCTCTACGACGTGTACGTTGGCGAAACGAAATCCTTCAAGAGCCTGTACAGCTTCAGACTCAGCCTCGTCGTCCACGAGTACAGTGTAATTGGCGAGCGGATGTCTCTCCAGAGTGTGACGTGCAAACCGGAAACCAACTTCGACAATATGACAGCCTGGATCCTTGAACAGTGCCAACTCTGCTAGGTGAACGGCCGAACTGAGAAGACGCGCGCCCTTCTGGTCCCCTTGGTCTTCCGACAGGCTTTCGAGCAGGGCGTCGAGGTCAAGGTTCCACGTTACTGCGCCATACGGCTGTGTGATCCCGTTCAGCGGGTCAACTGAGCTGTTCTTTTGCGGCAGAGCGGCTTCGTAGCTTGTCGTCCCTGCATTGACAATATCGAGGACAAGTTGTCCATCGGAGGCGGTCATCTGGGCACTGACTTTGAACGATCGAGCTCCTCGCTCTGTGGTCCACGCATATCCACAACTAGTCCCAGCTTCTAGTTGAGATTTTGTGGGAGGGTAGAGAGCTATTTCTTCGAAGTATATTGGCACAACTCCGGAAGTCATCGCGCGGGTTCGGCCAGCATGAATGGCTGCTATGCATAACTGCAGAATGGAGTCGACACACGCGGGGTGCAAGGCATAGCGGGACTCTCCAAGCTCTCTATCCACGCATCGCTTGATTGAAGTCGTGCAGCTAGCAGCATGTTGCTGACCATCGAAGCGGATGTCGTTCATGTCCTGAAATGTCGGGCCGTAGTCAAATCCAACTTCGCGGAGCGCCTTGTTCCACGCTCGGCCGCTCGCTCGCTGCGGGAAATCCGGGATTCGTCGAGGGGATTTTCTAAAGCTTCTATCGTTACTGCCTGTTCTTGTGACGAGGCGAATCCTGCCAGTAACATGCTGCAAGACTATGCCGCGATGATTGCTGGCGACGGAAACATCATGGCTCGTCGACGATACACTGAATTCGAAAAAGCCATTGTCGGTCCTGCCCGCTGCTGGCCACAGGCTGAGTCGCACCTCGACACCGTCTTCCGCTTCTGGGACCGCAAGGGCGGTATGGATTTTCACATCACGCAAGATGTAACCGTCTATCACACCTTCCGTGGCAGTGTATCCGAGCTCATGCATCTGCGTCAGGGCTTCGATGGCCATTGACATGTATCCTGCCGCAGGGAATATATACTCACCCCCTAGGCGATGATGCCTGAGCCAGGGGAGGTCTTGGAGCCGCAGCAAATTGCGCCACGTTGGCTCTAATGGGGATGAACCGACAATTTGCTGGCCAAGAGATCATGACGAGGGAAAGCAGGTTGCCGGTGCTCGCGACTTAGGTGGCTCTCGGCCCATAAAATTCGTTCGTAGTTCCACTGGTATGGCGGGAGATCGACAATCGTTCGACCCTGACCATAGGAGCTAGGCTGACAATCATGAGTACTATATGCTCGTACGATTTTGGCTCTGTTTAGCGATTTGTAGTTGCGCAGAATGAGCTCGCCAGCTACCTGGAGCAGCCTAACAGCACCGTTTTCGTTCCGTAGTAATGTCGGGAGACAATCAGCTTTTTTGTGACCCACGTGAGTTTGGATCTGTCTGATGAAGCCGGACAAGGCCGAGTGAGGCCCGATCTCTAACATCAAGTCGACGTCCGAATATTTCGCAATGGTTAACAACTTCTGGATGGCCTGGTCGAAGCGAACCGGACTTTGCAGATTCTTGCTCCAGTATGTCCCGTCAAGAACAGTGTCCTTGGCCAACAGGCTACTCGTGACGGACGATATCATAGACACGCCACTTCCTCGTTGGAAGTTCATCCACCCCGCCTCATCAGCGGTCGATACATGAGCCCAGTCGGCTCTAGCTTGGTTAATGAGTTCCTCGTACTTGCTAGCCACATCGGCCATGTGACGTGAGTGATAAGCCTTGCCACCAGTGCTGACCATACGGGTGAAGACTCCGTCGACGTCTAGCCGACCCTTTACGGCCTGGATAGCGTCCATATCACCGCTGAGAGTCACGCTGGTCGGGGAATTGTAGCATGCTACTTCGACCTCCATCATCTGGGGACTGCTGAGGTATTGCTCCGTCAAGGTCTCGGCGCCTATGCCCACCGCCAGCATTGCGCCGTTAGCGCGAACATCCCGGGCGACTTGACCGCGATAGAAGGCAGCCGTGATGGCCTCTCTGGCCGTGAGGAGCCCGGCGGTATAAGCTGCCGCGATCTCCCCAGAAGAGTGTCCTACAGTGACCGCGGGGTGCACGCCCCAATCATCTAGGAGTTGGACCAGCGCGACTTGTACAGCGGTCGTAAGGGGCTGAGCGAACTCTGCTGAAGCGATACGCGAAGTGGAAGCTTCTTCGAGTAATAATTCCTCGAGCTTCCAGCTGGGCCTATCCCGCAGGCCTTGAAGTACGTTGTCCAGCGCTCGAATCGAGCGAGCAAACACCGAGCTGTACTTGATGAGTTCGGCACCCACTAAATCACAAGATAGGACGCATTAGCCTCGTTAAATCTAGCGTTGGGGTGAAACATGGCCGAGTAATCCTAGTGCTCGACTTACTTCGTGGCCACTGTGCTCCCTGACCTGTGAACACAAAGCCCACTTTCCTGCACGGCTGATTTGTACCGCCGAATACAAACGACTCTGTAGCAGTCGTAGAATCGGAGCTGAGAATCTCACCCAGGGTCCGCTGGCTAGCTACTAGATACGCGTTACTTCCCAGGTTGGTCCGCCTCGTAGTGAGCGTATGTGAGAGATCAAGAAGGCTGTAGCGGTCTAGCACTTTGGCGTGAGCCGCAATGTTGCGCTGCAAGGTCGCCGTATCATGTGCTGAAAACGGCAACAGAAATGGGCGGTCATGGTCGATGACGTGCCGGGTACACTTCTTTGCTGTCGTGCTCTTAGGATCAAGAAATTGCCGTGTTGTTATCTCACTACCGACAGTGTGATGCTGGCAATAGTACGTATAGCTGGCAGATCTCTCTGTACTACCGCCCAGCTGAGGGACGACGGAGTTGGCGCCTTCAATAATAACATGGGCATTGGTCCCACCATATCCCGAAGCGTTGACCGAAATCCGCCGGACAGGAAGATGAGCAGGGAATGGCAGAGGTTCTGTCGGTACTCGCACTTGCCACTCGTTCCACTTGATGGCCTTGCTTGGCTTGGCCACGCCATAAGTTGGCGGGATGATACCACGTTCAACAGCCAAGACAGCCTTGATCAAAGAGGAGAGTCCGCTAGCAGCCCCACTGTGGCCGACATTGGGCTTGACGGATCCGATCAGCAGGGGCTCGTCGCATGTGTTCCGGTTCGTGTTCAGCGCTATAGATATCGCCTCTGCTTCGAGAGGGTCGCCAACTGGTGTGCCGGTCCCGTGACACTCGACATAGCCTGTCAGACGGGCATCGAGATTGCCCCCTCGCCGATAGGCTTCCATCATCACTGCAGCCTGACCCTCACAGCTGGGCTGGCTGATGCTCACAGCAGTTGTTCGACCATTAGCATTGACGGCGCTGCTCCTGATCACGCCCCTGATGGGATCACCATCACGAATGGCATCGCTCAACCGTTTGATATACACCGCACCGACAGCCTCAGCGCGTCCGTAGCCGTCAGCACTGTCGTCAAAAGTGTGACAAGTCGATGTGGCAGACAGCACGCCGATCTTTGCGGTGTTCATGTGCTGATCTGCTGCGATGATCATGTTCGTCCCGCCGACAATGGCCGCCTCGCATTCGCCATTGCGGAGCGCGTTGCAAGCATTATGCAGAGCATACAGCGACGAAGAACAGGCAGTGTTACACATCATGCTAGGCCCTTTCAGATTGAAGACGTGGCTGATGCGATTGCTGATCATGCCAGGATCGACGGCTGTTGCGGCGACGCTGTGCCGAAAGGAGGGCTCACGAAAGGCCATCTGCTGCCAGTCTGCGGTAAAGCTGGCTGCGTATACTCCAGTACAAGTTCCTGAGATGGCCTCAAGCGTGATGCCACCAGCCTCGAGAGCTTCATAGACAACCTCCAGTACTAGGTACAACAAGCAGGAAGATCAGCTACTGCTTTGAGGTTGCGATTCTTTGGGGTCCTTTGTGTAATTGCACGCTGGCTTACATTTGCGCTGTTGAGGATCCATCCACCTAGCCTCGATAGGGGTGATGCCGAAGAAAGCCGGGTCAAAGCCTGTGAGATCTTCCTCAAGGAAGTAGCCGCCCAAGACGTTGAAACTACCTGGTCGACTGTTGTTCTTGTGATAGTGGGCATCAATGTTGAACCTGGATGAGGGCACTCGCGGAGTATGGCCGGTTCTCTTTTTCATCATTAGATCCCAAAAGTCACCCGCAGATCCAACCTCGCCAGGCAGTCGACATGCTAAAGGACTAAATGTTAGCAGGTTCATAGTGCGTATTGTCTCCATACTGACCCATTCCAACCACGGCGATTGGCTCGAGTTGCTCGTGCAATGACTTCTCTGAATAACGAGGAGATGACATTGCCGGATACTCCTCGTCAGCGACTCGAATCATAGGTACACAACGATTCGCATTGTCGCATTGATCGTCAGATACGGAAGAAGCACAAATCGGGGTCGTTGCTACGCCAGACATGATGACAGGATAATTCGGTGCATGAGCTCAGTTGAATTAGTGGACGGAAAGAGCATCTACTCGAGCGAAGCTACCACGACGGTGAAATACTCTAGTTCGTACCTGCAGCCGGCTAACACCCTCTGCTGTACTGCTCCAGAATCGACGTAACAGATAGTCCTCAGCCTGCCAACCTACACTTCGGTCCGAAACGCGAGGCAGGCAACCGTGTCTGTGCCACTCCCATTGCTAGATCCAAATTTGGCTGCCATTAGAGGCAAGGGGCACCTGAGAGTGGATCACAGCACCACCACCACGCGAATTAGAGGGAAGCCCCGCCACTCCGTCAGTGGCGTTGGGGTCCCGGGGGCGTGGGACCGAGGGGGGCGTGGTTTGTGAGGCTGCTTGGACCCCCCGAGCCCCACGATGAGAATGTCGCTCGTCCCTTGAGGTATCTTGCTCTGCCAAGAGGAGCCCGTTTCGCAAGCAGAGACGCTTTGTGCCTCACGATCGTGACACCCATCTCCAACATGACCGTACTGCAATCGCATGTCGGATACATTCTACAAGCTGTTAACGTCCACAAGCCCTGTCGCACCCATGCCGGAAATGAGTCCAAGTCCTAGATGAAAAGCAGCGATACTAGTCTCGTGCCAGCACAAAACCCCATTAGTTGTCTGCAATAGAGATCGCGCTTGATGATGCTAGCACAAATCAACCAGAGGGCACGTACAACATGCACACATTAAGATGAACGTTAGGACGAGAGCTAATAAGAGATAGCCCGCTGTAAGTTGCCTATGTGGTTTGCGCCCACACTGATGCTGCCAGAAACGATACGTTGTGCAACACAATGGCATAGCTTGAATGCCTGCTTCAACCGCCCACGCGCATTGGGGTGGGTCTTCGCTCCTAACTTCCAGACCCAGCAGACCATCTCCAAAGGCATTCGAGCTTGGAAATCCTTTGTAGGTGTAGCATCGTTGGAGGTCATCGTTGTGCGCAGGCGGTAAATCCATGGGCAAAAACTTTGGAACAATAGAGCGAGAAGCGTGACGTACTTTTGCGAAGTATGTAAACACTCGGATCATGCATCCAATATTGCTTGCGACGACTATGCCTTCTCGAGATCGGGCATCGTCTGCATACTGTCTAGTAGCACTTGCTTCGCTACGACCACAACGGTCTGTGCACGGGCATTTACCTGTAGGTGGTGTACATAGCGACGAGAAAGGCGCGGCACTGTGCATGCGCCAGAAGTAGAGACGAGGGACTTATCCTTGAACAAGCAACTGAGGTTGGAAATTGTAGACACTTATGTAATATCTCTTACTCGGCACGCCAGATAGTTAAAGACAGGAGGGATGAAGATGTATGTGGATGGTCTTGCCCTAATACCTTTACTCTTAGTCGGTAGCAGGAAGCCATCATGTCGATAGCCTCTATTGCGCGCTCTTGTGCGTACCAGGTATAAGCCAAGTTGTTCATGGCTGTAAGCGTATCGGGATGATCCAGTCCGAGTTTCTGCTTGCGAGTCTCCATCACTTCCACCTCCAGCTCCTCAGCCTTGTCCCATCGTCCTTGATTCCGGTACGTCGAGGCCAGGTTGGCCATGCTGGTTAGCGTATGGGGATGATCCAGTCCAAGTTTCTGCTTGCGAGTCTCCATCACTTCCACCTCCAGCTCCTCAGCCTTGTCCCATCGTCCTTGATTCCAGTACGTCGAGGCCAGGTTGGCCATGCTGGTCAGCGTATCAGGATGATCTAGTCCGAGTTTCTGCTTGCGAGTCTCCATCACTTCCACAAACAGCTTCTCCGCAGCCTTCCATCGGCCCTGAATCATAAGGGCACGGCCCACCATATCCATAGAGTGAAGAGTATCGTCATGTGTTCGTCCAAGCCTTTTAGACGTGGCTTCCATGGTAGCTTCCGCCATTTTCTGCGCCTCAGGTCCTTGACCCTTCTTCAAGAAGTACCACGCAGCTCTGTAAAGGATGCCGGTCCACGCGGCCGACGAATCTTCTGTCTTCGGCCGTTGTGCTGCAGCGGACGTGGCATGTGGCAGCAGCTCTTGACATTTTGACCAGTTCTCGTACTCCCCTGTTGGAAATTGTGAGGCGAGGCGATCAATAAACTCGTGCTTCCACCTATCCTCCTGACCCTTCGCCTGAAGCCACTTCCGCGTAGCCAGCTGGACCAGTCTATGCATTTGGAATGTCCCACCATCGCTTGTAGAGATGAACGAGTAGTCCATCAACGTCGAAAGGTCTTGCTCGAATGCCTCAGCAGCACTGAAATCCGAGTCGCTCTCGTCATCACTGGGCTCCTTACCATAAGTATGCTTCTCGTCTTCCGAATCAGCTATACTGATGCCCTTTTGGTGTGACCCGATGGCGGTCCCCTCATAGTCAGATGCTCGTAGCAGACTCTCCGGGATACCCTGCCGATCACAGAAACTCATGAGCGAGAGCAGGTCGGTTGCTGACTGTCGAGCTTCGCGAATATGATCGAATGAGATTTGCCATGTAGTGATTATAGAGTTCTTGGCTTCGCGGTCCCGGCGTAGCTGCCCTCGATCGTAGTCGAGAAGACCGACCTTCTTCCGATCGCCCTGCTCAAACTTCTCAAGATATTGTTTGATAGAACACCGCGGCGTCTTGTGACCTATGTAGGCCGTCGCTTGGGCGATCGCCAGAGGCATGTACTCGAGTGCCTTGATAAGAGCTTGGGTGCTTTCGATGTCCGTCTGCCTCACTAGCCCTCCGAGCTTCTTTTCTGCCAGAGACAACGCGTCAATCGCGTTCATGGGCTCGATCCTTACAATGTTACATTCTTCGACGAGTCGGAACGCCACATCCCTGCTTCTGGTAGTGACAAGAACGGCTCCATGTTGACAATAGGGAAGATATGATCTGAGTGGTGTACTTCGCCCTTGATTCTGCGACTGTCCGGCACTGCCGACATGAGAGACGTCGAAGAAAAAGCCAGCTTCGTCTAGATTGTCCAAAATCACCACCCATTTTCCTCTTTTCTCTTCGCGTAGCCAATGTGACAGGAGTTCGAAGATGTTGCTTTGGGAATCTCGTCGCCCGGGAATCTTGAGGTACTCGGCGACGTCTCGGAAACTCTGTTCGTAGCGGGCCGCGTTGCTCGCGTGAATCCAGAAAACCCATGTCTCGGGCGATCGTTCTCGGACTCGGTAGGCATACTCGATGGCAATCTGCGACTTGCTACTCGTGCGTTAGCTTTCGCGATCGCTTCTAATGCACACGTAGTGTGAGCTATGCCTACCCGACACCACCCAAGCCAAGGAGAGCTGTTTGCGATGCTGGCTTGGCACACAGCTCATGCACCCGGTCGATTTCTTTTCGGTCGACGAAGTCTGGGTCGCGGCCGAAGGGTATGATCGCTGTCGGGCTCGGCGGGGTCACTGGTCGTTCTAGGTTGGGACAAGCATTAGCGCTGGTCGTGCTCGGACGTCTAGTAACATACCTGGACGCTGTTAGCCCAGGTGATTTGAATAAAGGGTAGGAGAGTAATTGGTGTGTTCAGAAATGCATTGCATTGAGGCTAACGTACGATTCAGATGGACATCCCCATGGACGATGCCCTGAAACAAGAGGCTGTTGTCGTTCACCGCAGTGTGGCCGAACTGCTGTTGGATAGCTTTCGGCGGCTGCCGCGCTGTGTCCGCCATAGCCGACGTCGGGCCAGCAGCCTAGGTCAGGAGTGGGATTTCCGTCTTCGATCAAAACTTTACCGTCGTTTTCTGAGGTCGAGGACGCACTGCGTAGCAGGCTGCGCGCATCAGTGCCACGATAAGCGAGGAAGGCGACTGACCCTAGGCAAAGCAGAACCGCTGGAGGGTCAGCGGACAGCGGCTGTGTGCGGGGTTGTCACGTGCTGCTGGCATCCACGAATTGGAATGTCGGACTGTGCGGCTGAGAGTCATCACGAGCGCGATTATGGCTACGAGGTGAGCCCGTCCTTTGCCGACTGTATCGTATCCCTATAGCTATCCTTTCGTACAACTTCGTTACGAGGCATATCGCTATATGTCGCCATGGATCCACTGAGCATAACAGCTAGTGCTATTGCCGTGGCGACCCTTGCGGCGCAAAGCACCAAAGCTATCTACCAGGCCATCGACGGCTTAGCGGAAGCCCCACATGCCATCGCGCACTCGAAGACTCTCCTCGCAGGGACACAAACAGCATTGGACAGTCTTATTGGAACGTTAACAACGACGCAAGATACACAGGCCAGGCTTGGGTCCGTTCTACGACCCTTAGAACTCGACCAGACCTTGCGTTCTACGCAGCAACTTTGCGACAAGTTCGGCACGACTATCACGAAGTACACTAGTCGTTCGACCGATGCAAGGTTCAGCAGCCGTGACAGGATCTTGGTGAACTTTCACGAGTCGCAAATCATCCGATTCAATCAAGAATTGGGCGACTGCCAGAAGACCATTTCTCTGGTGCTTGGGACGATCACCCTGTATGTCCCTACGTCAACTAGGGGTCGCGCTAGAATTAACCATCTGCAGAATCGTATCTAGCGGCACGTCCGACAACCTGCAACAATTGAGCAAGCAGTTCCAAGCCCATGAACAGGCGCTCACCTCTCTGGTCGCCGAGATTTCGCAAAGACCCACGGACCCAGGAACAATAGAATCGCATACATCGGGCGAAGGTCTGCGTGCTAGTACGGACGACGACCAAGCCAGTCTTCGGCCGACTTTAGCGCTGAGAAATACCTGCGAGGCTGCTTTACAGGCCACTCAAGCAGCACGAACGGCTCAAACTTTCGGAGATATGCAGGCCGATCAGTCTATGGCCATGCAAGGAATTGTGGGAGAAGCGCAGAAAGGCGTGGATCAGTCCTTCGGGAAGTTGGTCGCGCAAAACAAGAGCCGGGCATTTCAAGGGCAAATGGACGCGACTTCCTTCGCCCAGATGTTTAAATGAAGAGGTGCGAGGACTTGGTCATTTCTAGCCAGTGTGCTTTTTCCGAGGTAGCTAAAGCCTACTGCAAAAAGATTTCGCATAGTTGAGATCGAAGAAGGAAGTCAGGAGAATTACGGCTTTGAGCTACGACCTATGTGCTTGATTATGGACGTAAGGGAATAGATTGAGGACACCGCTTTTGCTTGGTCCGATGATCCGACGAGGCGGCGATGCGGCTGCAAGCTCACGTGATAGCGACCTCTAGAATTCCAGTCAAGGGCATCGTAGCCGCTTTGTGCCCGCCCTTCGCCTCCAGAGGAGCGTCGCTACACATCACCGTCGACCGTCACAACTTTCTCGCTTCTTGAACCAGCATGCCTAGCATTCATCTTGACGAGCACGAGTTTGAGCTCGATGAAGAAACCCAGGAGTGTGCAGAATTCGATGACCCGCTCGTCCCGGCTTCGAGTAACGTGGGGTTTGTATCGGGTCTGCGCTACAACATAATATGGAAGCTGCATCTGCGAAAAGTAAGGCTCACGATGATCATAGAAGACACTATTGAGAATGGCGACATGGCAAACGGTGCCTACTGGAACTAAGTCCTGGAACCCGAGCTGCTGACTATCGTGACGAGTAGAGCGCCTGCGCCCGACTACTCGCGCCACGCTCCACGTGCAATGAACACCCTATAAGTGCACCTCAAGGCACGAGTACAAATCCGATGAGACGAGGATCTTGGTGTCCACTTCCAAACGCGGCGAGCCGGACTTCTCGAAGCGCTCCAATGCTCTAAACATTGACTGGACGATCGTGGAGAAAAAGCTAAGGACATGATCTGACCAGGAAAATAGCCTTACGGTCGCAATGTCGTTTACATACAGCACTGTATCAGGTTCGGTCGTAAGCTTGTGGCAAAGCGCCATTAGCATTGAAGGTGTGATCTACGGATCAGGGCCAGTTCGTTTGTATGGCATTCTCGTGGTTCCGTACCGTGCAAAGGTCGTTCGTGCTCGGCTAACGGGGCGCGGAGGACAAGAGATCGCGTCAGCTATGGCTTCGTTCGTGAAGTTTCGGCGGATCATGGATTCGAGTAGTTGGTGTTGGGAGTCGGAGAGTCGTCGAGCCATTTCCAACGGCAGCCGTACCAGCCGCGACATGCAGAGGTGCGAGAAAGGCGAAACATCACTTGGACAATGTCGATGGGTTGTGGAGCCTGAGTGGGACTCATGATCAAGGGCGCCAAAATTAGCGACTGCGCAGGTTTCTGATGGCAGGGTACTTGCTCCTGTTGACTCGGCACTGTTTATGGCTCCACTTTCACTTATTCTCCGACTGGTCAAGGAAGACGTTGAACCTGTCATTGAGTTAAGCTGATTTTGCTTGGCCCCGGGCCCCAATCAGCCTAGGGTAAGCTAACAGCGTCAATACGTTCATGTGTAGCTTAACAAACCAGATCTGGAGGATCCTTGTTATAAACCAAAGATGTCGCATTGGGCAACGATCAGTACCCTTACCTCCTCACTGTTCTATCACTACTGTACAGTCCACTAGCTTTCGCAGGCGCACCCAGCACGAGATACCGAAACATAACTGCGCGTTGACCCTCGGCGCCGGTGCCCTAGCATGACTTTGTCTCTGCTCACTATCCAAGAAGCGCACGATGCCTCACTCGAGGTTCAACACAACAACGAGCCCGAAAAGCTCCGTGGGGAAAGACTCCAGGGCGATGAGATATGTGAATACCCTGAAATGCCCAGAAAAGCCCATGGACGTTCGAATTATCGTGATGAGCGCGAGCAGGTATTTAGCGAGCCTTTCTTCCAGACAACTTTAGCCCTGAGTGCGCGGGAGTTGAGAATTTGAGCAGACCTGCTGATCGCGTCTTCGGTATAGATCTGGAACGCTCGCGACTTATCGAGCTCTTAACATATTGGGGTTCGAAGCGTACCACAACCATAAAAGCTTTGCTTATGGAGCATCCCACATGAAGATGTTCAATGAAGCTCTTCAGGCTTCCTGGCACGAGAACACGGAAGCCTATCATCGACCCGAGTTCGATAAGTGGTTCCAGGGATATGATGTAAGTTCTTTGTTGCCTTGTCAGGAAAGCGTGCTACTTAGGCATACATGCGCAAGTCTCTGACAATCATCGCGTTTTTTTGGTTCTGTCATCAGGCTCTGGTCGAATTGCCGTCGTACTTTCCAGAAGAAATCGTTCAAGCCTATCCTGGTGCGAAATATATTTTAGTCGAGCGTGATCCAACTGCCTGGGCGCGCAGCGTTATGAACAGCATTGTCCGTATGGCAGAGGATGTCAACAAGATGCCCATCAGAACACTCAAGCACTTCGATGAAACCATGAAGATGCTTTGCATCAATGCACGCCTTATTGGCGGACACTTCTCCGGCGGCCATTTCACTAGGCAAGGCGGCCTTGAAGCTTGTGAGACATGGTATCGTGGTTAGTAAGTTCCTCCGAGCATCCTTCTAACCGTGCAAGGCTTGACACCGATGAGAAACAATGACGGCATTCTTCTCACTTATGGGGCCATTGACTGACAGAATCTCAACCGCGCGAATCGATAGTTTGCTGCGTGTTAAGAAGTTGGTACCAACCGAACAGCTCCTGGTTCTCCGGCTCGAAGACGGACTCGATTGGCATTCTATTTGCCCCTTTTTGCAACTACCTCTCCCACAAGAGCCGTGGCCGGAGAAGAATACATGTGAGCAATTCCACACTTTGGTGCAGGAGCTCATGACGCCACTGGTGAAGCGAGCTCTTGTAAGGGCGACAACGTATGCTCTTTTGTTGGCTGTGATCGTATGTAGCACAGTATTATCGGCCATATCTTGGTGGTGCACAGATCAAAGCACCCTCGATACGAGGGATCTCTAATCATAGTCACCGATAGTGGTCAGATTATGTAGACAGCCAGTAAAACAGCGCTTAGCACATTATCGAGCAGGCGCAAATGAACTTGAAGGATGTATCTTCTTTAATGTCAGAGGACCCTGTAACTAGTATATTTTCTTAATTTTTGGAGGGCACTGGCGAGACAAGACAGAACAAGGGCTCCTTAATCCACATCAAGAAATTTAGTTGTTTTTCCCATCCATGGCTCTCCTCGCATAGCTCGAAATCGAACTTAACAAGCAATGCCCCCATGATCAATCGTATCTCATGCAATGCTAAGTTCCGGCCCAAACAGTCTCGAGAACCGTACGAGAAAGGATGGAACACATCTGGACTGGGGTCTGCGTGGACGTCCACGTCAGTTTTGTTCTGGGCGCCACGAGGCAGCCATCGCTCAGGAATGAAAGCATTCGCGTCCCTGAAATTCCTTTCGGAGTGATAGGCTGCGTATTGTGCGACGGATAACCGAGTTCCTCCGGGTATCCAACAGTTGTCGATCAGCATACCACCCTCTCGGACGACCCTTGGTACACCCACCGCAACGGGGGGATAGATGCGCAGGCCTTCCTTGATACAAGCATTCAGGTACGCGCACTGACTGAGACGCCTGAAGGATAGATCGGATACGGTATCAAAGCTCGCTCGTATCTCATTTTTGAGTAGCTCGAGTTTCTCCGGACGTAGACAAAGGTGGTAGATCAAGCCACTTAGAAGGGTTGCTGAAATGTAGGCTTTGTTAGTATCTCTAGATATGATAGAGGGATTTTATTTCCATTGTCTGAACTTTACCGATAGTTTCTGTCCCAGCTAGCATGAAAAGCTCGGCGTTGGAACACATCGCATTGAGACTGAGCTTTTCAGTAGGTCCTGCTGGAGAAACCTGCCTCCAGATGTCCGGCCGAGTTGATCCTGTCTTGACCCTTTCGTGTACCCTTTGAGCTGAATGTTGGAAGTGTTCATGTTTTTTCTTCTGGATACACTTTGGCTCAAACTTCCTGTATAGAAAACGTGAAACATTGTAGTACTCCACGAACAGAGAGAGCGGCATTAGCTTGATCAGTTTGAAGATTGAGTTGACCCAGGCGCTAGATCGATCCCTTTCCAATAGCCCCAGTGGCTGTCCAAAACACAAATCGGCCATGATGTCAAATGTTGCGAAACTGAATATGCTTGTGAGTTCAACCTTCGCAGATGGCGATGTTGAACGTAGGTTGGTGTCAAGTCTGCGCTCTATCAGTGAGACCATGGCATCCATACTTGAGAAGAATTAGTTTCGAGCGTCCACGGTACCGTTCGTTTCAAATTCACCCTTGTTTGAATGACTTACTGTTCTTTGAATATTGGCTGCTGTTTGCGTAATCCCACTTCGGAAAATGCGGGTGCAAACATTCGTCGCCATAAACGGTGGGTATCAACATCGGTGGTGCTGAGACTTCGAATACCTAGACAGAGGTGATGATTCAACTATTAGCTTTGGAAACCTGGATCGAAGCTTTCATTGTTCCGAACCGTTTGCTGGTTGAATGCCATAATCTGGCGCTTTGGAAAGCTCTAACCGGTTACCGTATATCTCCTTCCAAGCGCCACTGGAGATGTAGCTTAAGTCATCTGGGCCGAATCGCAAGACAGTACCGTAACGGTTGTGCAAGTCATGCAGCCAATGTACTTCATTGCCCCGGAAAAGCTGAATCCAGTATGGAATGCGCGTAATTGCGCAGAGCCATGGACCTGGTAAGGCAGAAAGGGGGTGGAATGTGACAGAGTAGAAGCTTTGGCTGACAAACCACAGTGCCAATACACATAAAGCCGCCTCTATGCCATCGGAAACCGACATCTCGCTAACCAGATTGAAGCCATACTCTAAGAAATCCTTCGATGAAGACACCATTGAGGTTTTCAGAGAGGAATGTGGTTCAGGCAGATGGTAAAGATGGGTGTTGCCGTGCAAGCCCTAGATCTGCCCACTTCAGCGACTGACTACGGTCAACAGTCCAATTGGCTTTGTCGGTACTGTATGGTATAGCAGACTAAGCTACATATAAAGCCACTCACCATGCAGGGTCTGCTTGAGATAGAAGAGATGAGTATATTTTCCGTGCGGTGCTCCAAGTAAACCCTTAATAACCTAAACAACCTAAAGAACTCACACAACCAAAACAATTTAAACTGAAGCAGTCCTGTTCGCAGAAACGAGCATGACGACTCAACCCAACAAGGGACTATTTGTGGCTCAAAGAGTACCACAAACAAGGCCGCATTCAGTGATCACCCACCTTCGTCAGCAGAGGCCCAGCTCAGACAAGGGGCAAAGAGCACTGTACAGTACAGAAAAGATTGTTGGATGGATGCATGGATGCACCCATGCTCGCTCCTTGCAAGCATAGACCAGCATTGTTAAGCGGAGACTTGCTTCAAGGCGGGTGTGACCGCGGAGCCAAAAATGGAGTGCCCCACACTCACCTGGAGTCGAAGGTCTGGGTGATATGACTGCCGAGCCATGAGCCGTGGTTCACGATCAAACGTTAGCATCTGGAGGCCAAGGCAGCGACTTAGAATATGTGTGCTGTGAACCTCAGTGCAGGTTCAACATCGCATGCACCGCCACGCGACGGTATGCATTCTGCTTGAAAGAGCCACAATCCGTGACATGCCCACATCGTGCTTCTTTCCTCATCAATCCAACATCAGGGGCGAGAGCTGCATCTCACTTAAGAGATTGCAATGGGCCGCCATTCACGATGGCTGGCGTCCCCGTGTGGCGATGGCGGCGGTAGTCCTTGCCAGCTCCAGCTGCATGCCCAATCAGTGCATTGATGTGGCTATGCCAGCATCGTGCTACTCAGTCACATGAGCTACGGCTGTTGATGCAGAACGGCCGGGCGACAACCGGATTTATCCTAGGTCGTGCAAAGTGCATGAGCGAATCAAGTGTTGTGCTCGTGCCACAGGCGCCTGAATTTCGTCTTATCATGATTGGCTGGCTGCGTGACGGACCTTCCCACTAAGGAAGGAATGACAACCCATTTCAGCTGCTCATCATCACTGCCTAAATGGGACTGGTCACAACAATGTGCCTGTGCTTGGCCTTGATCATGGCGCCACAGTGGCTGCTGACAGCCACTGTCATCCTCATGAACCCTCACATATTTGAAGATTCGCACACTGTTTCAATCTCGCGCTCACTTAATAGGGCCTGATCATCAGTCGAAATGCGGTCAAGTCTGTGTTTCCGAAGTATATCTTGCTAGAGCAGCGCAAACGCACACCTGTCTACAGCGCACGCATTTGAGTAAGGTGACTACCCTTGAGGGTCGGTGTATCTCGTGTTTAGCTGCCATCAAAAGCTCGATTGGCGTTTGAGTCCGCATAGGAGACGTAGAACGAGCCTCGTCACGCAGAAAGAGGAACAAGAGAAATTACGTTTGGGGTTTGCTCTTCTAATATTTTGGTATGAAAGACTTAGTTACTGTATATGAACTGACTCTTTCTCAATCCATAATTAACTTCCTAATCTCCCCCAAGATGAAAGCCTGGATGCCCTGGTCATTGCAAGTGCTATGCCGCAGGATCTCCATCTTGAGAGCGAGGATCTCATCGCGTAATTCCTGAACGTGGGCGCTTAGGGTACTGTTCTTCTCCGAGAGCTGTTTCTCTGTCTCTTGAAGCTCTTTGATTTCGCACTTCATCCTGTTACGATATTTGGTCGCAGCGCTTCGGTTCTTCTCGCGTATCATCTTCTTCTTATTGCTGCTTGGAACGGCCGTCCTATTCGACGGCGTAGACTGCGACGCGAAGCTTACCCTTGCATCTGCCGACCCTGCGCTATGTACGTGTATCTCGCTATGCCTGTGTTTCGTGCCGGCGAGCTGCTGTATTTCCGAGCTGTGTTGCTGTTGAAGCTGGTGGTAGCTATGGCACCTATGTGCTAACGACGAAGGCTCCAGCGTACTTCCGCTAGGGCTAGTGTGGTCGACGCGCTAGCAATGATAGAAAGGGTGGAAGAATCGCTAATCGGGGATATTGGCCACGAGTGTGTGGTCCACGCGTTATCGTCAAGAGCAGGGTTCGAAATTTGTGAGGCAGCGATAGTACCAACGGGTACTACATCGTATGGCTGCAACGGCCTATTGTACATCTCGGGCCCAAGGTCCATAATAAAGCCGCCGTCTGCGGCAGGGAAAGGGGCGTCCAAAGAGCTGCATTTGCTATCAAAGACCATCTGGGACATGTCGCTGAACTCGATGCGGCCAAGGTCAAAAGTGTCCCCGGACCAGCACTCTATTGTACGTGTGGATGGTTGGTGCAGCGTGGTGTCTGTGAGGCCAGCCATGGCGACAGCTGCGTGTGATTGTCTGCCTCTGTCGCCCTCGATCATTGTTCTTGTTGTTGTGGCAATACAAAAAATGGGGATCGTGGTGTGATCACAAGGCACGGCTTATCAGTGCCCGGGTGCGTGGGTCGCTCTCCAGAAATGGCGCCGGCTCGCTTTTGGAGCAACAATCGCGCCGCCGGACAGATAAGCAACGCCAGCCGCGACATGCTCATGACGACAGCGCGGGTGAAGCAAGCCCAGGAGCTCCCTGCCTGAATATGCAGCCAAGGCAAATTCCGTGCGCGTTGGCCTGGCTCAAACGGCGGGAACGGGGTGTAAGTGGCTGAACTCGGGGAGGAGCTCTGGTAGGTCCCGCTGCGGAGTTGGTCAGGGCAATACCCCTGTAGCAGGCGAGCCCCAGAACCAAGCCCCCGCTGGGGCGCGGAAATGCCACTCGGCCGGTTTGGCGCCAGATTTGGCTGCGCGGTCCGGACTCCGGACCGGCACCCGCGCCCCGGCTGGCGTCCGGATTGGGTTTGTGGGCTCGACGCCAGGGCAGTTCGCGCTGCTTCGCCACCCTTGAATTACGAATCATCCCCAGGAAACGGCTTTTCTCGATTCCCTGGGCCGTCGCTGAAAGGCTGAGGGGAGGGGCAGTTGGTTGTACGTGGGACGGCACGTGGTTCGCTTGGGTCTCCTGTGGACTAGGAGCCGAGTAGAGTCTAGGGCGCTGTGGGAGTCTGGTGCCTTGTGGGGCCTGGGACCAGGAACCTTGAGGAGTCGGAGCCGTGCTGGCCAGAAATGAGCGGGAGTCGCCGCGCGACTCTGGCCAAATGCTACAGTCGCTCTGCCGCGGCAGCCTGTGAAAGAGCAAGCCTTACCCAGTACAGCAAGTGACATTCAAAGAGCGAGCATATGTTTAGTACATGGGACTAGATTGGTAGCTGTGTATGATACCTCGTTTGCCAGGGGCATCGTTTGGCAATTTTCTCGCATTCCTGACATGCGGGTCACCCACGAATCACTAATCAGCTCGGCACTTTTTTGACCTTGTGGCACATAAATGGTTCTTGATATTTCTGCTACGAAACAGTTAGAACTTGACTCTGCTGTCATGCCGGGCCCCGCGCTCACCCACTCGTTCCCTTGAAGCCGAGGCCGTAGTTGTCACGTCAGCTGCATCGCCGCGCGGTTCCAGCAGCCCATTGAGGTCACAGATCCCGTCAACTGTCGTGCTCTATTGGAAGATTACCGCTGTGTTGCAATGCATTGAGTGGATCGGTGAGTCTGTTTGAGAGTACCTGAAGAATGGGAAGAAAGCCAGCCCGCTGATTGCGTGCGAACGGGTATTACAGGCGCCGTACCGAGGCCGACGCGTTCATTACGCTCGAGTCGCCCATCCGCAGGTAGATTCGGACGAGAGTGCTAGATATGAGGGTGTTTCTATAATAAAAATCGTTGCACCCGCGGTAACATGGCCGCTTTGTCGCTGCAAAGAAGTAATGGGGAACCTCGAGCCACGTCGCCCTATCCTATGAGGCGCTGCTACGCCTTAGCCCGACCGACTGTGGCAACCCCACGCCGAGAACACGCAAACAATCCAGCAGTACTGCGGGACCGCCTAAGGTTCGGCAAGGCGGCCACCAAGTAGCTGATCACGCGGCACCTGCTTCCACAGTTCGCGAAGGCAGGGGAAGAGGCCGAAAGATAGGAACGACGCTACAGGAGCACGGGCAGACGCAAAGGCGCAGCGATAACAGAGCGGGGAAGAGAAGAGCGAAGCCGCAGCAACCCATGCGCTACAGTGCGTGCTTTAGTGGGCTCGTGTGCTGGCCAGTGGGCGCTCTAGTCGGCAATCTAGGGGGTTACGTGCCCTGTAGTGGCTCGTTTACTGTTGGTAACACCAATCTTCAGGGGGATGCTACAGGGGTGCTGCTACCCCGAAGCGCGATAGGTTAGACCTAACAGAAACGCTTTTCTAGCGCGTGGAGCACCCCACGCGCGACCGCGTAGCGCTCCCTCTCTACTCCTTTCACCTCTCGTCCACAACCCGGCGCACAAGCTGGACCAGGTTTTAGCCGCGCACTTAAGTCGCACACATAGCAAGGTCCAACTTACAACACCCCGAGCAAGGCTCTCGAGAGCCAGTACCTGACGCGCAAGTCAGCCCGCGCTCTGAGCTGCCGGAATAGGCGTAGTGGTGGAACCGCTGCCACCGACGCAACCCTAGTACGGAAACACCAGCCGCACGCAGTGCAGCCTCGGCGGCGGCGGCGAACTCCAATCGCAGGATGCCAGCATCGTCAGCGAGACGCGCTTGGAGTGGGCTAGCGAGGACTTACGGCGACGCGGGAGTAGCCAATTGGCGCACGGATAGCGTCCGAGGCCACTGCGGCTTGCTGGTGTGTTGAGCGGCGCCGGGCCTGGACCAGGCACCGCTGCTCTTGTTGCCGAAGCAGGTTCACGATGCTGTCGGTGGAGGCAGCGGCAGTGGTAAGGCCGGAGCCGGAACGCTGACCGGGTTCGCTGTACACAGTGGTAACAGGCTTGCAGAAGGAAGAAGAGGAACAGACGACGAACGCAGCGATAAGGCTAGCCTGCAGCGAGTTGCTGTACCTTTTGCCCCAGATACCAAGATGAGGCATTACGAACACCGGACACACCGTGCAGCGTTGAAGGAGCGCTCGCGCATCGCCCTCCTATGCACACAACCCGCATATTAGGCATTCCCCCGTAGCAGAAAGAACAAGGGGCCCTATGCAACCTACACAAGCACTCTACGAGCCTCTAAACAGTTAGTTGGTCATGAGAGCTATTTATGGCGGTCCTATCGCATGTGCGTCACGTTGCTCCACTACACATGGAGCCCTGAGGATATCTGCCGGCATGATTTCTACAGTACTGCTGGTCGGAACTACAGTTTATTTGCTGTATGCTCCAGAAGTTGAGCAATAGTATTTAGGTAAAACCCACCTCATTCAAGTGAATACTGAGGGGGTTTTCTTACGTCTGTGGTCCAAGTGGCTTCACTTGACATCTCTCATTAGCAAGATGAAAGCTTGTCTATCTCTAGCATTCGCGGCTACCTGCTTCGCAAGTCTGATGGACGTAGACTCTTTGAACGTTTCAGGCGAAATTTATGTGACTTATGGGCCTCCCGATCACGAGCTGATTCCACCAAGCACGGAAGAATATCAACCGAGTTCACCCCATTCGAGTGAAGTACCACGAACTACACAGACGGCTGCCACAGCATCGAGTCTCTCGACCACTCGAGCCTCAGAGCTGACTATCCTATACCCAACGATCACGCTAAATACTACAGCATCTCAGGTGACGCCCTCAGCTGACTCCGCAGGGTTGACGTCGGGACCCAGCTCCCCCATCACACGCAATATTACAGCGTGCCATGGTGCATTCCCAACATCTTGGACTAATGGGACCATGGCTATTCCGTCGACAAACATTCCACAATACGCGACACAGTCAGGTACAGGTTTCTCTCCAGTCGACAATTACCAGACAGCCGAAGAACCTGCTCCTTCCCCTGACTATGTTCCTACGGACCTGCCTCAAGGCTTTACGACTAGTAGCCATCTGGTTCCCACCCATGGTTATGCGATCACATCTCCTGCTTCTATGGCTGCCTCCACTGCACGAACAGTATCTGTGTCGTGGTTGCTCGTCGTACTTGTGGGCGGCTTTCACTTCTTGGCTGCTTTTTATAAGGCTGGGTAAATACTCTCAGACAACCATAGTATTGAGTTGGAGAGGGTATTGAGGCTACCTAGAATCGTGTACGGACTAGCAAAAAGTTACTGTAGTTGGCCTTACTGTTTGAGATTCTAGATATCATAGATACTGTCAATTTCTGACTGGAGCTGTGCTTCAGCTTTGTTCTAGCCTGGGCTAATATGTATTACTACACCTGAGTACACATCTAGCTTGGGCTACAGTTTTGGGATACGTGACGTCGGCATGACGCTCAAATTATTCTCTACGGTCTTTTGCTCATGGTACAGATCTATGGATGCAAATCATAGGTCCATTAACGATCGAGCACTGAGAATGTGTAATCCAGTCGTAACGCAGTAACCCGAAAGCAGCCTCAAAAGGAAACAGCACCGTGTGGATTCGATAAGCCTCGGTATCCTTGGAAGTCGCTGCCATAAGTGGCGCAAGTAGATGCACCCTGGGCCTCGACTAGAAGTGGCGCTTAAGGACATTACCGATTGTGCCTTTTATACGTAGGTATAGTTCTATATCACAATGCTACAGTAGGTCAAGACTGGCGCGTAAAGAGGGCAACGATTCCGCCTCTTACGCGTATATCTAGCATAAAGTATATGACAGCATTGTAGAATATTAACAAGCATTCTGCGTTCATACCAAATCTTGTTAATTATGTCATTTGCAACCGATAAGAGCTCCACACAATCCAGCGCGACAAGTCAACATATCGCGCAGCTTTACGCAACCGTAGAGCCTGTCCCTGATACATCAAGAAGCTCGTATAGGACCCAGCCTGGGACTCTCATATCCAAGTTTTTTACCAAATATCTTCGAGAGCCATCGATAGACGAGTTCTTCCTACTTAGTGATAAGGATGTTGCCGAAACTTCCGCTCCGGAATTCTCATCATTCCTCCTCTTAGACTAGCTGCTCGACCTCTTATATAGGAATGTTGAGAAGTAGCTGTAGCACGAAGGCCAGACCGTCCATCTCTACTCTTTCTCAGGTATGCTAGTTATAGCAGCATGTATCGCAGCTATGAGGCTGCCTGTGCTAATTATGGAGAATAGAGAGATGACTGCCGAGGTTCTTAGGAGTAAGAAGAGTGTAAAGAACGTCGTGTAAACCTGCACTGGTTGTAGGCGGATAGAATCGTAGTTCAGAGATCTGCTAATGAAAGTACCCAGGAGGAATAGAAATATATCGAGTAGCAGTCTCCAGTTAGTCAGAAGGGAGTATGATGTAAAAATGATAAGAAGAAGGCTATATCCTCTCGAGAAGCGATCAAAATTCACTCTAAGACGAAGCTTCATCGTCTCATAATTCTGAGGAATTGAAGCGTGCTCCAAATCAAGGAGCTTCGGTATCGCTTCGTATACAGGCGAGAGTTGAGCTAGAAGTTCAATTATACTTGAAGTCTTGGTCGAAGGAAGCATGTTAGCTATGGAGGTTTAGAAAGATATACTACCCTATAATAAGTGAAGGACCATTCCTTATAAGTTCACTTTATATTGGCCCCTATGCTATCTTTCTATACCAATTTTGGATGCTTTGTAAAGGTACTAGGCCTCCGAATATGGATGCGGTCCACTAGCGGCCCCTTAGATGCTCCGTACTTGAATGAAGTAATAGCTAGAGGGTTGTCCCTGGGAATAAAGGCTTCTCGTATGGGCAACCTCACGGCCGCTTCTAGCCTAAATGCGCTATCCATAGTCTGATAATTAGAGTGCGTTATACGCCCCAAGTATAGCGGTGAAGCCTCCTCCGCCTCTAGATCGCCCAGGCACGAACCCTAGCCGGGGCGGCGAAAATGGATAACCCTACGAGGACGGGCTTACTGGCTAGACTAGCGGCTAGAGTTCCTTGAAGTGGGTCTATTTTCCGATCATAAGGAGCTCAGTAAGACTAGAGGCTCTGGCCGTCGTTCGGCTCTGGCCGGAGAGCTCAGTGCTTGAATAGCTAGAAGATTCCCCTCGAGTCGCCCCCGTGAGGGCTGCCGCCGCTCACGTCCGGGACGATCGGCTGTCGTCCCTACCTCTCGCGCTTAGCAGCAACCCCCTCCGGTGGGCGCATACCCTAATATCACCTAGAGATTAAAGGAACTATGTAGAATATGAATAGGATAGGAGCACGAACTCTAGCCCCCGCACCCGGTAAGTCCGTCTTCGGAGGGGCATCCTCCTCGGCCGCCCGGACTAGAGTTCGTGCTTGAACGACCTAGAGTACCGCCACACTTGAACCCTATGAGGTCGCTGTATTTAAACTCTGTCCATAGATCCCTAGGCAGCGTAGTCGGGCAGAGTTTAGTAGTAGCGACGTCTAACCCCTTCGCTTTCGTTTCATTCAAGCACGGGGCACGACTGTAGCTTACTAGAGCCCCACGCCTGGTTCGGTAGCTAAGGCAGTTTGTATCTCTACCGGTCTATGGTCAGGCTCACAACCTCTAATCGAAGTGATTAGTCAGTTATAGGGGAAACGACTCGGCCATAGTTTACAGCTATATTTAATGCTACAATTGTCATGGGCGGTGTTTAGTAGAGTATGGAGTAGCTATGAGCTAGGTAAAGGACTCTGAAGTTAGTCCTCAGACTAAGTAACGTTGTAAGATCTTAAAAGTAGTACTAGAACGATTAATCACTATATCAATCTCTTTTAACACCTGTGGAGATAATTATCTGGCGTTACTATGAATCATTTGCGATATATTGGGACGCCTAGCAGCTAAGTCATAGGTCGATCTAGTCCCTTACGCTAGACCTAACTACTCTCCCGGGCACATTTGAATACTTAACGCCTCCGCCTCCGCTTAGATGGTGTGGTTCCACGATAGGCCAAGTACGTTTACGGTGATCGGGGGTACCAAAGCGATACTCCAAGTGCTGCATGTCCAATAGCTGTTGTAGACTAACGGGCGATCCACTAATAGGGGACCGCATTATTCCCTCCTGCAATGCAATCATAATAGGCTCGGTACGACTAGACGCCTGAAAAGCAACTTTCATTAGGAGGGGCCCGGTCAGAGAGTTATTGGGTAGCTTAGTGAAGTCAGGTGACTTGTGATGCCCTCTTATAACAAAGGTAGCATGGTTCTGCTTAAATTGTGCTACGAGCTCTTGAGCCTCGTCCGAATCGGGAGCTAGTCTGCAAAATATCGCTCCAGAGCACTGATATGTACTATTAATTATTCGAAACGGTTCAATCCGGTCCAACTCAAAGAAGAAAAGCTCTGCCCGGATGCGTAGAACTAGTTTGTCCAGTACTGGTGACATCGAAATTGTCTCAAATGCGTTTCTAGCCATATCTGGCATACTTTCAACATCATCAAGCGGCGGTTCTACGTCCTTGAACTCGACATCAAAGCGGAAGACTTCACTACTCTTGCTAATCTCCCAATGGCTGAGGAGTTGCTGCCAGGCTCGATCGGCACTGCCATACTGCATAAACGCTCGGAAGACTCGGAAGAAGAATGAATCTCGCCAGAAGTGGGGACTGGTTATAACAGTGTCGGGCTGTGACTGTAACGAGCCAGTACCGAGTGAGACCACAAGGCTGGGCCCAGGAGTGGTAGGATGCAGGACAGCAGCCTCTCGAATTGCCAAGGAAGCTGGGTTGTTATACATAAGACCGCCATCCTGGAACACGCCCAAGCCTTCGACCGTTCTCGGCTTAAAGTAACTGGGATCTTTAGTAAAAAGAAGAGCATGCCTACTGATATGACTTACTATGGTGCTGCTGTCGCGCAGCATAATCTGAAAGTGTTAGTCTCTTGATAATTAGCTGCGGAATGGACTGACTCACGACTCCCAGAGGGGTACAGGCCTGTCTCCGTCTTTGAGCGTGATCATTTGATAGTCTGTGATCGTTAGTAGAGTATTCTTCGCTTCTCCCTATTGCCTACTGACCGCTCTGCCCACGCCTCCCGATTCCGTTATAGTTCGAAAACACAAAGGTACGAACATCTCGGATAGTCGTTACGGGAACTCCAACAAGAATGCCCTTCTCGTCTGCCATGGAGTGGTCCAACATGCTTCTTATCGACCCAAAGGTTGACTTGAGAGCTTCTTCTAGGGCTATCGTGGAGTAGCGGCTGTCCGCAAGCATAGACCAACACAGCTCGTAGAATTTTGTAATAATGGGTATACGACAAGAACACCGAGGTTTGAACGCAAGGCGAGCTAATCTCTCAAAGGCTGCGATGCATTTATCCACAGGCCAGCCGTTGATACAGAGCGCGCAGGCAATAATCGCACCTACTATCATTAGCATCATCCACTCAGTTGCGATGTTCGCTTACCTGAACTAGTTCCAAATACCAAGTCAAAATTTTCGTGGATAGGCAACGGTAAACCGACTCGTTCCTGGAGGACACGAAGGAACTCCAACGGAACTCGACCCCTTGTCCCCCCTCCATCAATGCTGAGCACACGAAGTCCTGCCGTTTCTGGCCTGATCTGAATACTAGCCGGTGCCGACAATAGCCCGCAAAGCAGACAATGACCAAGCCGAAAGAGCCAAGGCTTGAGCTCGTCTTGTACCGCGAATGTCCTTATACAGCATTCACAGAATGAATGCCCACACTCCAGTCTAAAGCGAGGCTGCCGGCGTATGCAGCAGAGACAAGTCTCATTTGATCTAATAGCTTTCCAGGACCGAGCGCAACTCGCTATTTGCTGCTGATGCAATGTTTTTGATGATTGACAGGAAACATAAGCATCGAACAACGAAAGAAACTTGTTTTCCAGTGACTTCAAGACCTTTGTTGCTTGGGCCGTACCGTTCTCATGACTCGAGAACAATTGTGAGGTATCTAGTGCAGTCTTGCAAGTCTCCTCATATAGCTCATGGAACACTTCGCGAGGCTGAAAGTCTGTCCCAAGTGGTCAGTATCCGAGAGTACAAGGGGAAGCAGAAACCTACTATGCATCCCCGGAGGGTAGCTGTCTAAGATAAGGCTAGATGCAATCGCACTAGGGACAAAATCTATTCGGTCTTCCAAAGGGATTGCTGCGCACTGGTCCAGAAACCTCCGAATATGTATTACCAAGTCTGGCGCCGGTGGATTGTCTGTCCGGGCCGTGAGAATAAAGTTGCTAGACTGACCTGGATCGACCATAGCTTTAGTGGCTCCGTAATGGAGTAAACCTGCAAGGTGTCGTGCAGTAAATAAGAGGGATTGCTGGGCACGACCTTCCCTTGAAACATTGCACAGGTTTGTAAGCTCACGAGTGAGGACAGATAGCCGATTCTGACGCGACGTCGTCCGGCCGAGGTTTAAAACACGGAGGCTCGCAAAAGATGTAGTTATACCATTGCTCATAGCAGCTAGCAGCGTCGCGGCAAGGCCACAAAAGGTCTCCTCTTCTGCTTCGCTGCTTACCGCTACGACTAGCCATGGGCGAAATCCACCCTGATGCGATGGTTTCATGCTGGCCCAAGATGTTACGACCTGCACAGCGCGATGAACTCCTCCGATGTCCCCCGCAAACAGACATAGTACGTCCGTATGAGGTATAACTAGCCGCGTAAAGATGTGCTCTTCCGACTGCAGCTCCTCATTCTTAGAACTCTGCAGAAACTGCCGATGAATGATCTCATGACACCGCTGCTGCTGCTGGCTCCTTGGCAGCGCTGCCTTAGAAGGCAAGTCTGCATCTATAACGAGCACGGGATGATTGCCTGAGACACTATTAGGGGCTAAAGCTACGTGCAGCTCTCCCCGGAATCTGTGTGCCCTAATCCCATTGACACTAACAGATAGCTTTTGGAGGAAGCGTGCTTTCGTCTGATTTCCGATAAGTGTTAGAACACTAGGGCACTGTCTATCTGGGTTTGGGAGGCCGTCTAAGAGTGTTCGGATTCGATCGGACACTTCTAGGCACGTTTCTTGGTTTTGTGTGGCTAGACATAACCATCGAGTATGACCGCATGATGGCATAGCGCTGTACTTTATGGTAGTGAAGCCGGAAGGGAAAGGTAATCCTGTATGTATTTATAGGCCGCAAGGTTAAAGAGTACGACGTATGCATTACAAATTGCGAAGGCTTTGGGAAAATCCATGTGAGCATGCTCCAAATCAAGCGCATTTCGTGGAAGCTCTTAGTTACAGTGGTGACCGCGAACTGTGTCCGCTTTCCTAGCATTATAAAACAACTCCGCACGGACCAGTAACGGCTTTGCACTGTAAGATGCACTGTACCGACAGTCCATAGAGAAGCTCCAAAAGTGGATTGCACCATCTCGTGCTGCTGTTGGCACGAACAGAAGATTATTCGTTCGTCGCACTACTGTACTGTATCTGCAGTTTTGGCCATGGCGAACTGTCGAATAATCTTCGCCTTGCCCATCCCAGGACGACGGCAGAGTATAACGCTGTTACCATGGCGTGGAGAAAGCAAAGACCTCTTCGCATCTGTTTATATGGGACGTTTAACCACGATTATCTATTCTACATGCACATACACACGCCTTTCATGCTGGGGCCTCAACCAAAACTTCGCATCATGGCTAAACTCCTCTTAAGCGGGGAAGCCGAAGCTTTTCAATCAGGAGAAGCGGCATGTGCATTTAGGGCACTTACTTTGAGCTGCTACGTTGTACATGCACCATACAGCGTCACAAGAGGGTGATAATTCTGCCTTGCCATGTAATTGTCATATCGAAGCCCCTCCTTACCCCGCACTTTCAGCCTTGCGCAAGGGCTAAGACCGCCCATTATCTCCACGGTGATGATGCCGATGCCTAAAGCCCATTTGACCTTTTTGCGTACTGTCTGGCCGATCGAGATTTCTTCACCTCAACGACGAACCCTTAATGCCATCGGCAGTGCTTTGCAATGCGGCTACTGCAACGAGATAATGCTAACAATTACACCTTTACGGACGATCTGCGCGCTGACGACATCCCCCCCTACGCAATCCTTTCCCATACCTGGGGCGCCGACGAGGTCATTTACGCCGATGTCAAAACGAGCTCGAATGTCTGGCAACAGAAAGCCGGCTACGAAAAGATCAAATTCTGCGCCGATCAGGCTAAGCGACATGGCCTGCAGCATTTCTGGGTAGACTCTTGTTGTATCGACAAATCTGATGCCATCGAACTCCAGACTGCTATCAACAGTATGTTCAGGTGGTACCGTGGCGCCAAGCGATGCTACGTGTTCCTATCCGACGTCTCTTGTCCACCGACGTCCGGTCCTCCGACCTCCAGTCAGCAGCCAGGCGTGGCATCGTGGGAGTCAGTCTTCCGGAACAGTCGGTGGTTCACACGTGGCTGGACACTTCAAGAGCTCATCGCCCCGCAGATTGTTGAGTTCTACTCAAAAGAAGGTGTCTTCTTGGGCGATAAGGAGTCACTGGAGGCTGTCATACGCAACGTGACAGGTATTCCTGCCCGGGCTTTACGAAATACACCGTTATCCAACTTCACGACCTCCGAGCGAGAGGCATGGGCACGCAACCGGGAAACGAAGTATGAGGAAGACATGGCATACTCTCTTCTTGGGATATTTGGCGTTCACATGCCACTCATCTATGGCGAGGGTCGCGAAAGCGCGCAGAGAAGATTGCGGGAAGAGGTCCAGAAATCTATAAAAGGTAAGGCCGGCTCAGCAGTTCAGCAAAAGAGATTTCGTACTAATTGAAACACGAAGGCGCTCACTATAACGACTTTTCGATCACCTTTAGCCTATCGGGCGTCCCGAGACCCCAAACTTTATGGCAAGAGATGGGGAAGTAGAGAAGATACGAAGAATGCTACATTCGGACGGAAGCCGTCACGTTGTCGTGCTCCATGGCCTCGGAGGCATCGGCAAGACACAGCTTGCTGCAACTTACATCAAGCGGTATCGAGACGAGTACTCGGCCATCTTCTGGCTCAACATCAAGGACGAAGCGTCCATCCAGCAAAGCTTCGCTAGGATCGCAACGCACATCCTCGAACAGAGTTCCGATGCCGGCAGCCTCAAGGGGCTGGATCTACAGCAAGATCACGACAAGATTGTTCAGGCCGTGAAGGCGTGGCTCAGCTTGGCCGGCAACACGAGATGGCTCATTGTGTATGACAACTACGACAACCCAAAGCTCCCAGGACGGAAAACTGATGCCACGGTCGACATACACCAGTTTCTTCCAATGGCAGATCAAGGCTCAGTAGTGATTACAACACGGGTATCAGAAATCAACATAGGCCATCACATTCGAATCAAGAAGCTCGAATCCGAACAGGAGAGCCTACAGATACTGTCGAAGACATCAGGCCGAAATGGCTTACACGATGGTAAGAGTCTCGAGTCATTTCATTTTCGGCTACTAATAGTGTATTAGATAACGATGCAAAAGACCTTGCACGAAAGCTAGACGGGCTTCCTCTCGCCCTAGCTACGGCCGGAGCATATCTGAAGCGCGTCCCGATCAGCACACGCGACTACCTTCGCCACTACCAAGAATCTTGGGCTAGAGTCACCGGTGACCTGCATCTCGGATCTTATGCAGATCGTACCTTGAGTTCAACATGGCAGCTGTCATATGCGCAGGTACAGGCACAAAACCCACTTGCAGCCCATCTGCTCCGTTGGTGGGCCTACTTCAACAATGAAGACATATGGTTCGATCTTATAGGCACTGGGAGCGAAGACGGTCTTGTGTGGATGGAACAGCTTTCAGAAGAGCTGAACTTCAGTGAAGCTATGGGCGTCCTCCACGACTACGGCCTTGTCGAACCCACAGCCATGTTTCAGGAGCCACAGGGGTACAGCATACATAGCTGTCTACATTCTTGGACGATTCATATTTTAAACAAGGAACGGGACGGCTGGTTAAACAAGCTTGCAGTCGAAAGTGTGGCGTCGCAGGTTCCATCAAAGAGAGAAGCTGACTATTGGCTCCTTCAGAAGCGACTACTACCGCATGCGATCCGGTCTTGTTCAACAGTACAAGAGAGCAACGTTCCTTTGGACTGGGCTTTCCATTCTCTAGGTGATCTGTTCTCCGATCAGGGGAAGCTGGATGAGGCCGAGAAGATGTACTTGCGGGCGCTAGATGGGCGCGAGAAGGCACTTGGACCAGATCACACATCAACACTTCAAACAGTCAACAACCTTGGGCTCCTTTACAAAAATCAGGGGAAGCTGGGCGAGGCGGAGAAGATGTACTTGCGGGCGCTCGATGGGAAAGAGAAGGCACTTGGACCAGATCACACATCAACACTCGACACAGTCAACAACCTTGGGAACCTTTACTCCGATCGGGGGAAGCTTGGCGAGGCTGAGAAGATGTACTTGCGGGCGCTCGATGGGAAAGAGAAGGCACTTGGACCAGATCACACATCAACACTTGACGCAGTCAACAACCTTGGGGTCCTTTACTCCGATCAGGGGAAGCTGGTCGAGTCTGAGAAGATGTACTTACGGGCGCTCGATGGATACGAGAAAGCACTTGGACCAGATCACACATCAACACTCGACACAGTTAACAACCTTGGGGTCCTTTACTCCGATCAGGGGAAGCTGGTCGAGTCTGAGAAGATGTACTTACGGGCGCTCGATGGATATGAGCAAGCCGTTGGGATTGAAAATGTCACGACATATCGACCAGCGATTAACACCCTTTCGAATCTGGGATCTTTACGCACAGAACAAAACCGTATGGGCGAAGCCCGGCAATATTATCAACGTGCTCACGGTGGTCTTGAGAAGGTTCTCGGGCCATCGCATCCGGCTGTCCAATCAGGGCGGGAGACTCTCGAGCTTACGAATGTGGCCCTCGAAGCTGGGATGTCTTCGAAGGATGACCAACATTTGGTTGATCCAACACAACCCAACCTGTCGAAGGCCAGACGACGAGATAAGCTGAAGCGGGTTTTTGGGCTCCATGTGAAATAGATAAGTAGCAGGATGCCATACAATGTACCGTATTTGCTCATGATTTCAGTTCAATGTCACGGAAAAAGCCGTTGATGGAATTGCTGCAATCTTGTCCGTCGAATAGCCTTTGTGACTGATGATAAACGGACGCAGTCGTCCATAATTAGTCACAATCTTGGGCTCGAGCGGGGGCTTAGTTGATTGCTGGAGAGCTGGGACTAAAGCCACTCTTGCAAAAGGAGCCCACCAGAAGTAAACTTCAATTCTGATAGGTGCTTATTGTGCGGCTTCCTGCACGGTATTTGTCACAGTGTGCCACAGCTAGCTGGTCCGTGCGGAAACAGCAATTCACTTCGAAAAGCGGACACATTTAGGGATTACTACTGTAACTCTCGATGAGGCTTCCCAGAGCCACTTCCGGAGGTTACTAAAAGCTAGCACTTGCCGCGTAAAGCTCTCCTAACCCTAGGTGTGAGGGTCCAAGGCCCCGTTCTACTGCGGTTGTTGCTTGAGCTTCGTTGAATCGCACTCTGAAACGCAACGTTCGACGTGAGCCTCAAAATTATATTTTGTCAATGGAAACGAACAGCCGAGAAGCTTCTAGCATATATTCTGACTCCTTTGAGTTGGACCACATTTTGGAGCGGCTCATTGGGAAGGAATCGGAGCACGAACGAACCGTAGTTCGAGCCTTACAAGATGAGAATCAGCATCTAGGCCGTGCCCTAGCGAAAATCGAAAGCCTTTGGGACATAACGTACTCTTGCATGCAACAGGCCACGGAGACAATGAAGAGCTTAGCTATGCTCCAGACTGAAGCGAATCAAGGGATAGATAGAGAGGCTTTACGTTGGAAAGTAAACTGTACCGAATTCTAAGGTTTAAGAGCGCTGAAGATCTGTAAGAACTCGAATACTAAGCTAGGGCGTGAAATGTGCTAAATAACTGGACTTGTAGGTTCTTAGCTTTAAATAGATATAAAGAAATTATAAGGCGGCCTAATATAACACTGACTTGGTGCTTATAATATAGCGGTGTCACGATCCTGATCTCGGGGTCAACCATAGGATAGGGCGCGGGGGTTGCCGTTCTGGAAGATAGGTAAAGCCTTCGCAATACTCACTGACTCCTGCTCTCGTTCTCTCTCGATGGTTGTCGTGTCTCTGGGAAGAGATACCAGCCTCAGCAATTAAGTAACTGGTTCAAGTGTGTAGTGAAACTGATACTTAGATTGATCGCTAAAGTGCAAAGGTAACCGCTATCTAGCTATAGGATCCTGCCGAACATATACTCATTTGCCCTTCACCGCAGTAATCGCCCTGTGGTTAGCTCATGGTGAGCCGCTTCTTGGATCGCCGTGATCCGGGTGCGAGGCTCACTAGCTCACCTGGTGGTCCGACCCTATCGTGCTGACATAATTTCAATACTTACATAATGAGATTCCTTGGCGGGGTGTCGTCCCGAGTGCATGGTCCGCCCTTGTCCTTAGCCTGATCTTACGACCTGTTGGTCAGGTCGTCACACACCGCTGAATACGAGAGCCAATAGTGGATTTTGTCATCGTTATATATTCCAGTACTAATGATAGATATAGCGCTGATGTGTACATTACTCAAGCTAGATATACTAAGATGGAAGTATTGAACTTGCAGTGTATTTTCAAGCAGCTTTCACTCTATCCATTAACCGCGGAGGATGTGGCCGATTTTAAGGCAACTTGGAAGTGTATCCAGTTAAGATATGCTCGATCTCTTGCGCGAAGTAGATCTAATCATTCAGAAATCATCCAGAAGCCGGAATGGGATAGCTACGTATCGCGGTTCGCGAACCAAGGATCGATTCTTTTTCCAAATCAGACACACTTGAACACCCTGAGTAAAGGTCTCGCGCTCGAACGTCAAACCGTCGTGGAGTATCTCCAGCTTCTTAGAGCCAGTAAGCCTAAGCACCAAATAGAGGACATAACAGCCATCGAGTCAGACGCAGATATTCTAGCGCATTTTAGTACTGTACCAAAACGACCTCGCATGGTACCTATACAGTACGGCAGTCGCTGGCTTTTCGCAGCTGTCTATACGGATACCATCCACTTATATGACAGTAGTCCAGATAAAGAAGCGCAGCTATCATCTAGTAGTACTTACGCTACTAATTATATAGCTGGGCCGAAGCATAATCCGTCACGGGAGCAAGACTCTGGTTTATTTATGCTACTCGGGTTACGCCTAGTCGCCAACCAGATAGCTCATATAAGTGGCCAGTCGATTGAGGCCAATAGCCTACGGACTCAGATTCTAATTGAGCTCGTTACCAAAAAGCTCGATCCCACGGATCATGATTTCAAACGAATGCTCGACGAAGAAGCGGCATGCATGGAACGACAAAATCGATTTAATCCATCGAATTTTGACAACCTTTCCGGGGGATTGGAAATCTCCCCATACAGCTCACCTTTACCGTGGCCGTGGTCTGACGCAGCAATGCAAACACAGAATAACCGTCAGACACCAAGACCTCCCCTTCCCAACCCACCATTACCCGTATTAGACGAGCGTAAAGCTATCCTCTCTATGCTTCACGATGCGGTCCGACTTGTCAGATCTGTAGAAGTGAACGAGGCGAAAGATATACGGACCTTGTGGTCTTTAGCCCAGGAGAGCCATTTCAGAAGTGAATTTCACAGGCGTTATAATTGCGCCCTTTTCTATGATTGCTTCAGAGTTCTCGAAACCGCGGTGTCTGAAACTCCAACAAGTAGTCACGGTATCGACGAGGAGACGCTCCAGGAGATGAGAAAGGCTCAGCCGACAAACCATTTCTGGTATACTTTACGCGACCTTCAGAAGGAATCCGATCTCCAAGAGTTAAAGGATGCTCTGCTTTGCATTCCAGTACACCACTCAACACTTAGGACCGATAAGGCTCGATCTGCTGCGATCAAAGACATTAAGGAACGCCTCCAGATTAGTGACGATCCACTACGCGGATTCCTAAATGCAGCAGTAGGACTTTGTGATGCTATTCTTAAGCTCAAACTTCCAAGACACCGTTTAATAATCGAGAACTTCAGGAGCAAGTCCTGGGATCCATTAACGGATGATCTCTATAAGGCGCTCTTAAGTTTAGAGAAGAGTCCCAGGGTACCCCTGCCATGCCTACTAGGATTATAAACCGTTAAAGAGGACTGGGAAACACGTGTCATACTGTATCATAGCCTAGGCAGTGAAGCTATTTCATACGTATTAGACTCGATTTCACAATCGCAGCTTCTTGAATGCTACTGATTCTATGTATATAAGCTACAGCATGCCCCCCTACTGTAAAATCGGGCGGGAACAGACGTATCCCTCCACTATGGAAATCCGACGCCACTATATTCCTATAGCCCTCCATGTTGGGGCAAGCATTGTTGTTCTTTTGTACTTTCTGTCTACAATTCTGCAGAAGGGAGAAAATGCCTCTGAAGGCATTGTCCTCCTCTATGTAAGTATGAGATCCTGGCGCACATGGAGCCTTTACTAAAACGAGTAGCTCACTCTGGGAAGTGCTCGACGTGCCTTTATTCCGTCACTTCCAGATATTCCACTGCAGCCTTCTGGTGTCGACAATGCTATAACAGGTCTAGCTGCACAAGCTACAGCCGTGGCAGAGTCTGTCGCGGCTCAAGCAACTTCAGCAGTGTCAGCAACGGTCGAAGAAACCGTAGCCTTTGCATCCTCCATAGCTCAAGGACTTCTTGCCTCGAAGTATACTATCGGAACGAAGCTCGCTTGCGCCGGAGCGATTTGCAAAAGCATCCCATCCCTAGAAGCCGTCGTCGGATGTAGTTTATCGACCAGCATAATCTCTGCGATATCGATCATAGCCGCGGAAGCTTTAGCTAAGCCGTGGATACTATGGATCGCCCTATGTTCTTCAATGATCTCGATTGTCTTATGTACGGTTCTTGCGGTATGCTCAGCACTTATAGTTCGCTTGGCGTACCTAGTAGCCGAGTCCCCTCTTTTCACCGTGGACGTAGGTTACGTGTATCAGTCATCTTTATGTAGTGCGGCTTTGTCTCTACTTGTTTTCGCTTGTACAATAGCGTATCATATTGCGACGACAAGGACAGGTCATACACGCGGGTTTTCACCCGTCGGGAAACCACTACCAGGTTTAAGTAATCAAGGAACGGATAAGCACGATAAGGGGTCACTGGCTCACGCCGCGAGCCTGTGAACCTCACCAATGGATCACAGTGATCTGGATCGCTGGACTGCAACGTACGTAAAAGCCGATGAGTAGGAAGGTGTTTTTGACTATAAGGATCTCCTTGCTAGTTAGTGAATATCTTTTGTCCTTAGCAATGAATCTAATCATCAATTCTACTAAAAGTTGAACTATTAACTCAATTGCCAGAAGTGATATCTCTGCCGGCAAGACATAAACCAGGAGATATGACAAATTGAGATTTACTATTGCGATGGCTTTACCTGCTTTTCAGAACGGCAAAACCCTAGCGCCCTACCAAAGGTTGAGCCGGAGGCTGGATCGTGACACATATATCCTCACCATTCAAAAGTTATATAGAACACCTAGGCTAGGTTAGGGACGATTAAATTCGAGGTATATTCGCCCCCGGTATATGGCTTATAGAGGTATGCTACTCGTTCCTTTGCTTATGCGGTTCGAACTTTGGTCATATTAGAATAATAGGCTCCACTATCGTACGCTCCATCGTTAGGCGTTATACCGGGAAGTAGGCTACCTTGTAGCCAAATTCGACCTTGCTCCAAAAACGCCAACGACGCATAAATCGTATTTGATACGCAGACTCACTTACAACACACCACGGTGTAAATATGATATTTACCTACTATATTAACATACTGTACCGTCGACCTATTGTCGTAGACTGCTAAAATATCTTGTATTAGATAACTACTACTATCCGACAACATGTACGACGTCCCGTGGAGGGTACATTTGGCCTGGTCTGAGGTACAC